AATTCCTAAGAAATAAAAGATCTATTCAGTAGCTTCACATTCTTCGTTGATAATGTTACAGATCTATCTTTTATTATATAGAGCTTTTCCTTAAACTTGTGGATTAGATGAAAAAAACAAACAAATAGATGGTTTTGATTTCGCATGACAGCTATCATAGTATGCAACCAATTAACACCTACAGTTATTCATTTGTTGTCTAACACAGTACAGTACCTTGTTGTGGTACAATGTATGCATTCATTTTTATCACAATCATCGTTGTTGTAGTTTTCGAGTTAATCAGAAGAGACATCCCTTAACTATAAGATGATCGCTTTCATTCCTACTTGGATTTTTGAAGTTACGTACACTTTTCTCCAGCTTGTATTTTTGTTATTTCTAGACTATAAGTTGGAAAAAGGAGCCCAAATGAATTACAAGTAATTTTAATAATTAAGTGTTCAAGACCAAAAATAATTTAATTTATTATAATAATCTGAGAAGATGCATGAAGCGAAGGAGGTCGCCTTATCGCGGTTTTACCATCCCACAAGCTCCAAGCAGTAGACTCATATTTTCTTATATGGTCCTCATCAACAGTCATTACGTTTGACAAATAACTGCCATGTTATGTGTTTGGCTATGTCAGTGGATATAAGATAGTAGCCTTGTTAATTCTTTCACTGAGCCTAATTTTAACAACTCAAAAGCTTCATATTAATCATTTGGGAGTTCCACTACAGTATTCAAAGTCATGTGATCAAACCGGTGTAGACTTCTTTCCGACTATTTTCCAACAGCTATTTACAATAGCTGTTTGGAAATCGTACCTACATTTCGGATTTCTGGGGTTAAATAGATATCACAGTCACCAAAGGAGTCTACCAAGCGTTCTAAAACCGGTGAGATAATACGAAAAACCACAACACTGAAACTTCCTCCCTTTGGTGATATGTAGGGGATACCACACCCCTTTATTTACGTTATTTCGTCTTCTTTTTCTATGACTTCTTATGACTTCTGATTCTATTATTTTGGTTATTTTGCGTTTTCTGAGCTGGATAGTTCATTTAGGAAACAATAACTTCAATATGAAATCGGCTGTCAGAATTGTTGTTTGATACCTGTAATTCCCTTTTGATATACAGGGTTGAATCGCTTGACCTGTGTTGACAGATGGGCTCCTATGTGGATGATTTGCACTTAAAGCGATTTGTACTGCGTTCGAGTTTTAGTGGGAACAAGATCACCCCTGGGATGCAAGTACATCCAGCTGAGGAGTCGCGAATAGAACGGAACACGCGTCCTGAATTCCACTTGGACCCACCAAGATGAATACAACAGCTATCCGAATTTCTCCGTGAGTGATTCAGTAGTAGCCTGTCATGGAGTAGTAGTGTGTAATCGGTATTTTGGTCTGATCGTTGTGTGGTGTTGGCTGCACAGACTTTCCTACTGACGGTTTCTGTGCCTAACTTCTGATCTTGTAGTCGTTTATCATTCTTCTTACCGGTTGGTAGATTGGGTCTATGTCTATGCACCTATTGATATATGGTTGACCTTTATGTAGAGTTATGGCTCATTGGTTTAGGGTGTTGACTTTTAACCAGTAGGTCACGAGTTCGAACACCGCTCCACCTACCGAGGTTTGTGCAGCCATTAGCATTAGCACACACACAATATGTGTGGCTCACTGCCTACTGCATAGAAGTGAAAAAGGTTGCTGAGTGGATTTCGATTCGCTCTTATGCAAAATCTTTTGGAATTCTGTGATACTGTGTTTTTCTTCCGTGCATAATTTCTACATTTTCAAAATCGGATTCATCTCCATGGTTGTTGACATAAGATATGAAATATGACGTTTAACTGCCAACAGTTGTAAATGTAGATAAAAATGAAGAGGACAACCATTTTGTTCAGTGTAGTATTGATCGCAGTTAATTTTTTGAATTATTTTTGATTTATTTTCTTCACCTATTGCCTCCTTTGGTCTGTGTATTATGGTTTGAAGGCGGATTTTTCGGTTTATGAGTTACACCAATTTCGAATGCTCTCAGTAGTCTTTGTATGCTGTCTGATATGTTTCTTATGTATGATTGGCTAATCTGTTTACTGATCTCTCTGGATGACTGTGTAGTTGATAATGAGCTGGATAGGCATCTTCTGTGGATATGGCGTGCATAACTGTTCTTCCTTTCTCTTTCTTGTCAGCTTTTATTTTGTTGCACTAATTTGAAGTGTGATTGTTTGTGTAGTAATACCAGATTTCATGTTAATTTAAACCGTCTGACAATATTCTACTCATCAGAAACCTCAAATACCATTTAGTTTTTTGCATACACATTTTTCAAATCAAAGTTTAACTGGACGACGATGTTAGCTATCAATTTCAGCATTCCTGCAATACCTTATCACTGTGCATATTGTTATTCATTTTCATATTGGAAAGTGAAAGATTGTTGGAATTGCTTTGTAAATTGTCTACAATATCATTCAATATTCACTAAAAGTCATATAAATCAGACTGTCAATTATATTTATGAGTTGAAAGTAAGCAATACTATCTGACTTTCTAAATCACAGTAGACATGTTCAGTTCTTGATAGTTGAGCATCGAACCCATAAATATAGTTGACTTATTGTTTATTCTTAGACCTTTCATACAATCATAACTTATTACATTTTTGAAAAAGTGCCTACAGAAATCAGATTCAATCAGAAAATACAAAGATAGTTTTGTGTAGTTTGATCCTGTGCATATAGTTCAACAGGTTCAAAATGTGTTAACTTTATACTATTGTATTTTCAAATGTCACTCACTGCTAATATCATATAGTTTCTCTCTATGCATATGTTACTTACCTTCATGTACTTTTGTTTGTAATGATTAGTTAATTCGTTGTGTATGCGAAGTTGGCAGTGAACATACAGTACAGAAGAATGTAAGTTAGCATTCGCATCAAAGTTAACTAAAACCTCTAGAAGACAGTTGGTTTAGACAACTGATGCTGTTTATGAATTAGTTAGTTCGCTTATACACTATATCTTTCCATCGGTACACATGAATTCCTGGCAAAAAAAAAAATATGCATCTGTGTAATATAACTTTTCTATATGTTTTTTGTATATCGTGAAAGAGGAACTAATGTTAGCACTACTGATGATCGGTCTGAAATTTTACAAGTTTATAGCATTTTGTCATACAGACAACTGTTCATGATTATCATTTCTGACCTGATTTCTTTTTCTTTGTCTTTCCTCAGGACATATTATATTTTTTTGAGAGGCATATATTTATCGTTCTTGTTACTTTCTGTAATATACAATCTGTTTCCCTTGTGATGAAAGTGTTTTCATCATTGGCAAACATATGTACACACTAATTGATTCTAATTGATACATTATTTTACCATCGAGACAAGAGTGGGGAGGGGTAGGGGGTAAGATTAGTCAGCAAAAAATGTTTATCTCTCTCTACTGTTTTGTTATTTTTGTTGAGATACATGAGTTGAAAAGCCCATCTACCCACAGTGTAAGGATTTATTTCTGGTTTTGTTTTTCTTTTTCCTTATTACCTACATTGACTGTTGTTTAGTATCGATTCCGGTAGTGATCGAAACAGGACACCTTAGTCATGTTGAAATTTGTTTGTTTCAATTCTTTCGTGATATTTTTTTCAAGCTTGTTCGACCAGAATTAATCTATTTTATTTTCAGTCATTCGCAATAATTATTGTGTTTACATGCAGACTGGTGGGTTCTACTCCAGTCAAAAGCTCTGTTTATTAGGCGCTATCTGTTTTCGAGTAGATGGATGAGATTTCCTTGGTTTAGGTATATCGAGATGTAGTATGATTTTCCGTTGATATCCTTCATAATGGGTTGTATACTTTTCACTCTTGTTGAGATAAGTTGCAAAGTTCACAGTTTTAAACAGCAAAACGGAAATTTCCACATCTACAAATTTCACCAAAGGGGTTTGAATAACCATTCTGTAGAGTTTTACACTAGGAAGTAGCCTCTTTCACCTACCTAGACAGCACTGTTTCAACTACAGGCGGCACAGACGAGGACGTTAAAGCCAGGATTGGAAATGCGAGACTGGCGATCATTAACCTGAAATCAGTGTGGAGATCTTCTGCACTCAGCATGCGGAACAAGATCCGGATTTTCAATACCAACGTCGTCAGTGCTTCTGTATGGCTCAGCGACTTGGCGCGTTACGAAAGGGATTTCCAATAAACTACAGACATTCATCAACAACTGCTTACGCTGGCTCGTTACTGAAGATCAGATGGCCAGAAAGAATAAGTAACAAGGAACTCTGGCTGTCAACGAACTAACCAAAAACCTATCACTGAACAAATATGCAGAAGGAGATGGATTGGGCATACACTGAGAAGGCCGACTGGGGACATCACGTGCCAGGCCAGTCCCTCGAGTGGAATCTCCATGGGAAGCGACGAGTTGGACGTCCGAGGGTGACATGGAGGAGATCGTGCGAGGAGGAAATGAGAGGTTGTGGGCTGTCGTGGAACCAGGTTCAAAAGATTTCAGAGAAGAGAGTGTGCTGAAGACGTGCTACTGAAGCCCTATGTTCCATTAGGACCCAAGGGACAAATAATAATGATATAAGGGTTTTACACTAAGTTACATCTGCTGTAGTTTTTTCTATTTTACGTAGGTCTTTAAATAAGTTCGTGTATCCCTTTTAAGGTAATAATTAAAATTATAATAACGTTACTAGTAACTTACTTGGAAGAGAATGTGTTCTTAAACTATTGGTCTCAATCGTGCATAATCTGATTTTACTTAACTTTCCCCTGAATTTGATGAGCTGGTGGTGGCATGGTGATTTCAATTCCATTCAGATATACAGATCAACAAAAAATTATCTTTCTCGATTGTACAGCTGTCTGTAGGATTCGTACAGCAAAAATAAAATTGATTTATTCGTGTACCATGTATTCATTGTACCAATAAGGTGTGAAGACGAAACTTATTTTATCTTAATTTCAGTTTTATATAACAGAAGCTCATCGATTTCCCACTGTCGTTCAGCTGATTGAGCATCATTCTCGTTCTGCTGATGGATTGGTCTGCCCACTTCTTTATGCAGTACCAAAACCACAATTTTTAAATCAACCTATGCAACAATCGTGTTATTCATCTGTCCCTCAAGCATTACCCAACTCACGTATTTCTGGTCAAAATCAATTTGAAGGTAATCCTGTTACTCTACAGTCAAATACTGAAATGCCCAATTTTCCTATACATCATATGAATGCCGTACAACATGCACCTAGATCATTTCATCCAGGTCATGTGAATAATTCAGAAAGATTAAGTGCTTGTAGTGATTCTCTTGGAAGTATGGAATTTGATGGATGGGAAATTGACCGATCAGAAATTATTATGCGTCAAAAGTTGGGTAGGTGCAATTTTGTTATTTGACGATTATTTTTTCGTTGTAATTGTATGCTTGTATGTAAAGTTCAGCTAATTGAAAGGTGAAGTGATCTCACGTCTTTACGCACTCGGTTACTTCACATAGCAGAGGCGATTGCAATCCACCTTTACAAACCTAGCCTTTGTATCTAAAAGAAGTTTGTTCGACCACTTTCATTACCGTGGCCGTCAACTTGATGTAACTTCTAGGTTTATTTTGTGCACCTCTTCCCCTTCTTGTTTCTATCCATATTCATATTTCCAATTTTAGTAACCCTACTGATTATTTACATCATTATTTCCGAAACATCACCACGTGATTGGTAATTTGACTAAATTGTAAACCTATATATTAGTGTAGAGCCCAAGATGAAGACCTAATTGAAAAGAAATTTATTTCTTCACTCAATCAGTCTTTTTCTAAATGTCTAAATGGGAATATTCAATGTATTAAAAGATTTCTACCGTTTTAAGATATGCATACAGGACCTAAGTTTGGTTATTCGCTTAACTTCACCCGGCCACTTTGATGAATTTGTAAAATTTACTTTTCGGTTTTCTGGAGATATTCACTGGTTAGTTCTCACGGTCTTGCAAGTACAGCATTTAGTCTTAAGGCAAAAAGTGCATTGTTTGACTGAATCCTAGTTGACAATCACCTATATGCTGTTCGACTGAACAATACTGAGGACTAAAAAGAGTAGCGCAATTTATGGTAGTCTCTTCGTAATCTCTACCTATTGCAGTTCAGACAGGAAAAATCAACATGGGGTATCGCACATAAGTGCATTGGTTCAATTTGCCACACTTCGTGGTAGTAGACAAAGAATAAGTAGATACAACAGACTGATATCAAAAGTGCGTGGATGGAGAAGGAATTTAAAAATTAAGATCAGTAAAGACTTTCAAAGAGTGAACATATCTCCACCATTGTGACTTATTTTCAGCCATTTCACCAACAGTCCTCAACCACTGATTCCTGTCGTTTTGAAGAACCCATTCAGGTAGTCTACGCTTCCCTATACGGCTCAAACCAGCTGTCAGGAACTTCATCGATTAATGCCGCGTTTTAGTCTAGTCATTTGAAACCCTCTTCCAACGTAATCCAACTCCCCCCCCCCCGCTCAGCATTGCACTTCGAGAAATGAGTGTTGTCAGAAACTGTCCAACCTCGTATTGAAAGCTAAGCATTCAGACGCGTCTTTTGTAACAGGTTATTTCAATGCTGGGAATAGGCCAAGTCAGGCTGAAGGGTACTTTGGTGGCACTTTCGGAATCCAAACTGAATGAAGAGAAAACGGTGATAATCTGCTACACCTATGCACAGACAACCATCTGTTTCTGACCAGCATGAAATTCAGACGTAATAAGAGACATTGTCGAGTATATTGTGCCACAGGTCACTCTACTATATTGTTGTGAAACATGATCAGTGAAGGTGAGATATATAAGAAAACCTCATGTGTGTGAGTAGCGTTGGCGTCGTCTCATAAGTTGTGTATCGTGGTGTCACCACTCTCACATTCTCAGCTGGGGTAGGTGTAGACTTGATAAAAATTATAAGCGACCGGACTAAAGGATGACATCAGTTAATGAAGCCTTTGACTGTTGGTCTGAGACAAATGTAGGGCGACGTAGATTTCCTGATTGAGATCCAACCAAAATCGGTAGTTTGAGACTAGGTGATATGGTTCAGCGCCGATTTTCGTAGCACAAATGCATCCAAATGTTGTCTGCTTTTTTTGAATGTTTTACTGAATTTCCTTATTGTCTGATTCTTTCTCTCTATTTTCTACTACTTTCTGCCAATTTTCCTCTCATCTTGAAGCATTCTCACTTGATGTACTGATATGAGTTGTGACAACTTGAACCTTTGCTCAGAATCCTAGTTTCCACTATGGTACTATATCCATATATTATTACCGCCTTGGTCATTGTAACTTTTGAGATTATATTCGCACACACCTAGCGATACGCAAGCAGTTGCTGTTTTTAAAGCTGTTGTTTTCAGTTTTATAGTTTTCAGTTTATGATGAAACATGAGTTCCATCAATCTAAATGTCTTAGATATTTCCAGTTTTTGCTCCTATGTACTTGAAACACCGACCAAGAAGAGTGAATTGCATTGTGCTGAGGTTATGGCATTCACCTCAATAAATTTACACAGTAAAATTTCTCCTCTAAATCCCCACAACCCCCAAATCCAATTGAACTAGTCCTCATTGGTGACTAGTTTTGGGAGGGTGATTCTCGAAGTTTCAATGAGAAGTTGTGGCCAGTGGGGCAAACTTGGTGGCTGTGAGGACAAATACTCAACGATGACATTGGGTGGCGGTCGCGCTATATTATGAATTGACAGAAGTTGGAAATATGGACCATTGGATTCCGACCCAATGGCTCAATGGTAACGTACTGGCCACGGAACCTGAAGGTTGCGGGTTCGACCCTTGGCGGAGTTGTGGGTGCGCACTACTAAAGAGTCCGTTAGTATGGCGAAACAGCTGTCCAGTGCTCCCGAGTTTCCAATGTTCCTCCAACTGATGTCAGTCCATGATGAATACCAACTTGCAAAAATTTATACGAACAAAATTCTGATTGTATCCTTTTCCGGTTTTCTTTTTACCACTCTATTTCACTGTACTGTTCCCTATTCAATCTACTGTCTTAAAAATGTGTTTAACCTTCATTGCTTTTTAAAGATTTGTTCTCAGTAATTTCTATATGGCCAAAAAAAGCAAAGGATAATGAATTACACTAAAACCATTGTGGTTTGCAAGCTCCCCTCTCCCCTATTAAGTCGCAGTCTATTTCCGAGCTATCTTTTGTTTGTCAATCTTTTTCTCTTTGCATTCATCAGCAAGATTGCTGATCATGTTGTCTGCATTTAGTACTGTTTTTAAGTAATGATAAACCATATAGTCTTTATTTCTTTGTTAGGCTGTGGTCAATACGGTGATGTATATGAAGCTGTTTGGAAACGTTTCAATTCTGTGGTTGCAGTGAAAACATTAAAAGTAAGTTTACACCCCCTGATTTTCAATACTTTTTTGTCTCATGATGTGTTGATGATTGACGGAAGCCATACCTCTTTAATTCAATTTTTTCATACAAAAGTAGTAAATACTAAAGTATTCTTTGTGAAAAGCTCAAAATACCGAATAATAGCAGTTTGTCAATCACACTGAGTTCATTGGGAAAGAACCCCATGGCAGCAGTTCATTTATATGCTGTGTAAAGGTAATCCTGTTAAACGACTGAAGTTTTTTTGTATCAGAATAAAATTGAATTCGATTGGCTTGTAAAGTGTAGAAATATGAAAGAGGAAATTTTAATGGTGTCATATTCTCTGAGCTGTCTTCTTGGCATCTGTCCACATGAAAATTAACTAGCAGTGAAACGTCATGACGTATCTTCCCTCATATCAATGCATACAGACAACTGTGGATATGAATTTGACTGCAAAGATGTGAAAATCTTGAACAGACGGAATACAAAAAATCTCAGAGAATTCTCAGAAGCTTGGTATTCAATTCAAACAGTAATCAACAGACAATAACACTGACACATCCTACCAACCAATAAAAAACGACAAGAAGGTCAAATTTCAGGTCATCAAAACAACCAACGAAAATGAACATGGAGACAATGACAAGACCTTGACAGAAACATTCAATCACATCAGGATAAGCTACCAAATAAATTGCGGAGTAGACGAGAATGCACAGAATACTTTAAAAATGATCAAAAGGAAATTATGTTATTAGGTGGTTCGATTAATCTACATCACATAGACATTTAGTCTTGTTGTAATCAAGAATTTGGATATGAGAAACTGAGTTTATGTCTAGACTGAAATTATGTTAATGGAATAGTTACGTAATATAGTGAACACTTATAGGCATAAAACGCTTACCAAAAGCTAATATTGTATGGTCTAAGTTAGAGAAAACAATAAACTTTATTGCTATTGTTTCTACATAAATTTATAGACTTTCCGATTGCATAATTGTTACAATCATAAACCACTTGGTTAGTTTTCCGTATAATACTGTTATGATAAAATTGGATATGAGTCATGCGACAAAATGATGTGAATGTTTTTTTTTTACTTTTTTTTACTTTTTTTTTACTTTAACACCGATAGACGACTTTATGATTAGTGAATTATTACTTTAGAAGTAATTTTCAGTGAAACAGTGATAACCTGTTGTGATTGAAAGCGTATCGGCATCATGTGGGAAATTTGTCATCATGGTGTTCTTGGTGAATCTTTTCATTCTTGTTTACGAAACAAAAGTTATGGATATTCGTTAAATGTAAATGTTACAATTATAGAGAGATAATTGTTGATTCTTGTTAGATATTTCACCTTTCTTTCGCCTTAGCTGAGATTAATTTATTGGATAGTGGGAGATTTGTCTTTATACTGTCAGAAGTATGACTGAAATTTCAAATGACTATCTTTTTATGTCGCACAAACTCGAAGATCTACAGGCAAAAACCAACAAGTTGACAGAAGACGCAGCGAAGATGGGACTTTAAGTGAATGTAGAGAAGATTGAGGTGATGAAGATACTCAACCAACAACAAGCACCCATCACCAAGAACGGGAGAAATCGAAAGGAAGTTGTGGAGATCTACTGCACTCAGCATAAAGAAGATCTGGATTTTCAACGCTAACGTCAGTCAAGTCAATGCTTCTTTATCGTTCAGAGACTTGGCGCGTTACGAAAAGCATTTCCAATAAACTACAGACATGCAAGAACAACTGCCGCCTACACTCACTCGATACTTAATATCAGATGACCAGAAAATAAGAATAAGGAAGGAGGAACTCTGGCTGGCAACGTACCAACAAAGAACCCATCGGCCAACAAGTATGCAGAAGAAAGTGGGGATCGATTGGATTGGATTGAACATACACTGAGAAGACAATTCGGGGACATCACGCATCAGGTCAAACCAGGCCATCGAGTGGAATTCAAAGGGGAAACAACGACTGTGGCGCCCGAGGATGACATGGAGGAGATCATATGAGGAAGAAATGAAGGCTTATGGGCAGTCGTGGAGCCAGGTTGGAAAGACTATGGAGAAAAGAGTGAAATGGCGACGTGCTACTGAAGGCCTATGTTCCACTAGGAACCCAAGAGACAAATGATAATAGTAGTTTTGCTTGCGTTTGTCACCAATTGTGTTGCATATTTGATTGCTGTAGTTTCTTTTTCCCAGGAGTGCTGAACGTCGCCAGTTGAGGTTTGATATCCGGTCACTTACTAGACCTACCCACCTGCATCTATGTGTACATGTACTTTGCAATCGATCTATTCATAGTAATACCAATGATATATTGTATAGAGTCCGGTAGATAAACTGTAACCGCGAAAACCGTGTTAAAGAAAATATTTTTTTCAGTTACAGGAAGAAAGAAAGTTTATCGTGAGGATTTCACAAATAGTATTATACGATTGAAAACGACTTTCAGCAAGTTCTTCATCCATGCATACTGCTTCGATGAAATATATGTATTGGTCTATCACCAACTTCCTTGAAGGCTTTCAATTTGATTTGGAAGGCATTTTCCTTGCACTAGATAGTGGTCTGAGCCTACATCTGCTCCTCTTCTTGACCTTGTGTCAAGTAGGCTGCGTCTCCACTTTCTTGAGATTGAGATAAAGTCGATCTGATTTTTAGTGTGTCCTGGTGTCTGATGAAATTTATGTCGCTTTGTGGATATCCTTGTGCTTGAACACAGTGCCTCCAATCACAAAATCTTTGAATGCACAGAATTCTGCAAACAGTTCTCCATTCTCGTTCATTTCACCTAGCGCTTCTTGACCCATGATAGATGAGTTCTCTTCCTGTGTTGTCCGCTCCCAGTTTAGCATTCATATCGCCCATTCGAATTTGAATGTCACCAACTGGGGTGGAGTCCTGTCCAGTGTTGATTGAAGTTGTCTGTAGAATTACTCCTTTTTCTCTTGCTCTGCATTATTTGTAGGTGCATGGCGTAGCATTGTATAATTGTGACCTTCCTTCCTTTTGAGTTGAACCTTGCTGTCATGATCCTGATCGTGGAGGAGACTGGTTCCCACTGCATGAGAGCCTTCGATGCTGTTGGGGACATAATGATAGCCACTCCATAACTCAGTGTGCTCGTGGTTGTCGTCTGGGTGACAATATCGGAGTAGATTATTGATTCTCCAGTTGACAGTTTGGAGAGTGCACTTCCATTCCATCTGCTTTCGCAAATTCCTAGAACTTCAATGTGATACCTTCTCATCTCGTTTGCAAACTGGGCTGCCTAACTGGGTTGCAACATGGTGCGGACATTCCATGTCCCCACGTTTACTTTCGCTTTCATCGAGAGAAGATACATCGGCTAATTGGCTTTGAGTCCTTTCGCCTCTCCAATTCTAGCGAGGAATAATTTTGTTTTCATTTTTTATATTTTGTTTGTGCTTTGAAGTTTGTTTAGCGGTTAGATTTGTTTTACGGGGTAGGGTAGCTAGCTTTATGCCTAACCTTCCCTCTTCACCCGGGCTTAGGACCGGCTAGTAACTAGTAAACTTGTTAACCAGGCGAGGTTATATATATCCTAAAAATGTAAACCTACATCGTTCAACACACTGACCATTATGCATCATCACAAAGTTACTTCGGGTGTAATCAAGCTGTTTTATACAGCATAGCATTGAATTGTATTAACCTTTTGCTTGGAGTTGTGGTTCATTGGTTTATGGAATTGAATTTCAACTAGTGGGTTATAGGTTCAAACGCCACTTCACCTACCGAGGTTTGAGCAGGCAGGCAGGTATAATTAATCTTCGTACAGTATATGTGACTTACTTATTGCCTATTGGACGAATATAAACAAGGTTATTGAATGAATTTCAACTTTCATACTTTAAACTAGCGTTTATCAGATTCTATGGAATAAACAATGCAATCTGTTCAAAATATTTTTTCATTTCAAGTGTGATTCACATTGGATTTCGTGACTGACTAGCAGCAATAAGCTTAGAGATATACGTTAATCAAAATCACTGCATTTTTTGTTCGATAATAAGGTGATTGAAGAAGGCTTTTTTGTACATATTAAGCACAACTATTGTTCCACCTTGCAAACTATTCTGTAATAATATGATTAATTCTATACTCCCATTTATCTAGAATTGTAAATATTTATATATTTTTTGATTTGTAGCAAGATGTTAACTTGAATGTGAATGATTTTCTCAAAGAAGCTGCTATTATGAAAAAATTACGCAATAAGAATTTAGTTCAGTTGTTGGGTATGTTGTTGTAACTTTCATTCTTTGAAAGAGTTGAAATAAACCATTGCATTTTTATATCTTTTTCATCTTCGAATATAACTATATTTTTAAAATTAGTTTAAAAATTCCTTCAAGAACAAGATATTCAGCGAAGTGACTCTTATCAACGAATTTATTTTCAAGCTGTACATTCATATATATATATATATATATATATATATATATATATATATATATATATATATATGATATTCGAAAAATTATATCCCATTAGGAAAACTAAACATTGCATAATGATGATGATGATGACAATAATAATAAAACGGATGATGATATGGCCATTCGTGATTATGATAACAGTTGAAGTATGAATGATAACAAAGTAGGTTACGTAATATACACAATGGTTCATAGATGTATAACTCAGAAAAGAGTGGAAAAATTGATGAAATAATAATAATAATAACAAGAATAGCTTTATTTCAAACAATATGTTTGATACAGTATGAAATTCTCAGCATATAGTGATTTAACAAATTCACCTCCAAAACAATATTTTCAAACAAAGTGATAATTGCATCTGAATGATGTTCATAATAACAACATAAAAGGTCTTAATGTACTGAATTAGCCTACAGCGTTTAGCCGTGATGGTTCATTCATCGCCCAGTGGAAGAATGTACTATTCGAAATGGGTATCCAAAGAAAAGAAATATAATATCTTTTCTTGTATTCAAAAATCCATTTCCGTCTATACTGGCATTTCGCCTTCGTTTTTTGATTACTTTAAAAAACGACTACTTCAGAACATTTTAAAAATCTGCAAGAATACGTGAGACTTTTTCAGGTCATAATTGACAGATTAAACAAATTGAAAGGGAGGAATGTGATATGAAATATCTGGTGGAAAATTTCATTGATAGCCCAATGTTCAGGCAGGTCGCCGTTGGTAAATCAATTAAGTATTATGTAATAAGATTAGACGAGTTGATCAAGATGAAATCAATTTTTTCTAAGAAGACTGAGACAGTTAAGTGAAATAAGACCGGAAACTAATCAAAATGAAGGCAATTATAATAACAATAATAGTGATAGAGGAAGGATGCAAAGATTACATTAACAAAGGGGGGGGGAGGAAAACTAATGAGGGTGGGAAAATGTTATGGCCATGGTAAAAACAGTGACTGTATATACATCTTTTGTACACACAAATCAGGTTTTAGTTCATGAATAGTTGAAACCTTCACTGTTTTTAGGAGTTGAAAACAAAGAGAACATGGGAGGTTTGGGCTAATTTGATAAATTATTTTAAAGTCATTATCTCGGTTTGTTGAGTGATGGAAATCGATCAAATGTTCTAGAATCGAACTGCTAACAGACTTTCTCTCACCTTTATAAAATTAAGCTGGAACATGTTCTCGTATAAGTGTAGAAAGCATTCTCTAGCTACGGTCGACATACCTTGCTCTACAAGAACAGGTGAACTGCTAGATGCACATTATTATATTATTATTTGTCGCTTGGGTTCCTAGTGGAACATAGGCCCTCAGTAACACGTCACCATTTCATCCTGTTCTCTGTAGTCTTTTGAAGCTGGCTCCACGACTGTCTATAAGCTTTCATTTCTTTCTCACATGATCTCCTCTATGTCACTCTCGGGCACTGGAGTCGTCGTTTCCCCTTTGCATTCCACTCGAGGGCTTGGCCTGACCTGATGCGTGATGTCCCCGAATTGTCTTCTCAATTTATGTCTAATCCAATCCACTCAATCTCCACTTTCTTCTTCTGCATATTTGTTGGCCGATGGGTTTTTGGTTGCTTCGTTCCCACCCAGCGCTCCTTGTTGCCTATTCCTTTTGGCCTTCTGATGTGATGTTGAATATCGAGTGAGTGTAGGCTGCAGTTGCTAACGAATATCTGTAGTTTATTGAAAATATTTTTCGTAACGCGCCAAGTCTGTGAACCATACAGAAGCACTGAATGTTGTTTGAAAATAATGTGGTTTGGCTTGTAAATTCTTTTCGAAAGTGAGGATGCCAATCATTGGTTGATCCGTGTCTTTGGAATTCACTACAGAATACAACACTTTTGATGAACAAATAAGCCGAAAACAAAACTACATAATTAGCAAAGGTTTTTTAGACACGTGTAATGATTTATGTTTTACATCTGCATAGTATTTTTTCATGTAAGCCGTTATTGTATATGCTACGCTTTATACTGCTATCAGATAACTTAAAGAAACCTACTTTAAATTGCATCATTCCTATTAAAAGAAATTTGTCTCGGAAAATTCTTCTCCGCATTTTTTGGTGAACAACACGGATCAGTGTGCTGTTGCATCAGTTTAGTATTACAAGAAGCCTGCACAGAAGATTAAGATACTTCTTGCTTCATATCTTCTTTTAAACATTAAATTGTGTTATTTCGATTGGTTGTTTTCACTTGACACATAGACAGATCCTGTTATACGTCTGTAAGACACGGCTGTTAAAAGTAGAAAAGATGAAGCGTTTACTGGGTTCTGATCATAGGTGTCTCTGTAGCATTGCTCGCGTTTTGGTGGACTCACCGTTTGAGCAGTGTTGAGATCAACCAAAGGGTAGTAGGCAAGAAAGCCAAGTCTATTGCTGAAGTTGTGAACTTTAGTTGACTGAAGTGGTTTGAACATGTTTTGTGCATGTCGATTCACTACCTACCTTGATGTATAATGGTGGGTGAGGTTGGATCAGGTTTGAAGAGGGTTAAGGGTGGGCGAGCGATGACGTGGCACCAGTATGTGAAGTCGCTGACTGTTAGTATGAGCCGTGTAGTCAATCAATCAATCAATCAGTATCAACATAGAACCAGGCATTACTACTTAACGGCCCAAGTTGCCACAGCTCATATCAGTACATCAAATAAAAAGGCAGTAAAGTGGAAGATGACGAAAAGAAAATTCAGTCAAAAGAAATATAAAAGTACGAAAAGAGAGAAAGGAAGAATGAGAAAATGGTGGGATTCGGTATAGCGTTCCTAAGATGAGGATAATGTGTGGGGATACATCTGCACCACTGACATCGGTTCTCAGCCATATCACCTAGAGTCACCAATCACTGGTTATTCTCATCCCATCGACCCCAACCGGCTAGTCTGCATCACCCCACATGATTCAAACCAACAGTCAAAAACTTCATACATTGATGCCATGTTTCAGTCTGGTCACCTCAGGCCTTTTTCCAGCCTGAACCTACTTCGTCCAACATTGTATGATGAGGCAGACGGCGACTGGGAATACGTAACACATGCCCCACCCAACCATATCAGTCGATGACGGTTCATAACCTCGTCAACTGACTTACCTCTTCTCCCTAAAACTCTACACCTGACTTCTTCATTACTCACGTAATGACACCACGAAATACGTCTTATACTACGAAGGCAACGGTGGTCAAACACTTGAAGCCTTTTTATATCTTCCACTTTCAATGGCTATGTTTCACAACCATACAGTAGAACAGAGGGGACTGCTGTGTAGGTGCAGTACACGCGGCTTTCAATAGATAATCGGATATCACGGTGGCGCCATAGGTGGCGTAAATTGGCAAAAGCCAATCGAGCCTTTTGTGATCAACACACTCAACCACTTCACTCTCTATTGTTAATCAGCCGTGCAGGGAGATATAGATTGCATGACTGGAGTCCCTGAAATGATACGAATCACTGGTTGAGAACTCTTGGCTAGGTGGGTAGAAATCGGTCAGAATGGCGCAGATGTATTCACTCCTTAACATCTTTTGACGATTGAATGTTCGCAATAACCTGTATCTTCAAATTGTTTATCTTCTCATAAAACTTCTACTTTTTTATTAGTCTTTTTCTATTCACTTGCTCTTTGTATGCTACTAGGAAGTGTGGCAACTTGAGCTGATCCACCTGTGTACATGTTTCTACGTTGGTTCTGTGTTTGTCTGTCTGACGTAAACAGATGAAAATATATACACTTAAGTGTCGTTCGCATATCAGTGTTACACATTGTCGATTACATCATTTCCATTGCAAACACATATATTGATTTTCTCAAATTCTCGTCTATTCCCTTTTTTGTCCTCACTTATGTTTCGTTTAATGATATATATATATATATATATATATATATATATATATATATATATATATACCGTACTTTGATTTTTCTTGGAAATAATTTCTGGATGTTTTCTGACAATGGTATTTCTTATCAGTGTGGTAGCCGTGGTTAACCAGACTCATATTATCTGTACTGGATGATGATTAAAGGTGAAACGAGAATTTAGGTCGTGGCAAGATTCTTACGTGTGGCCTCCGTGTTAGCAGCTGTTTGCTCTACCGAGCATGAATAACACTAGTCTACCAAACCCAGGCCATCTCAGATAGTCACAGTGTGATGACCAATATAGCGCCCTCCGTTTTTAATTCTATTCGATTTGGATTGCGATAAAAAAGACCTGGCTGGACAGCCAGGATGATTACGATGAACAAGCAGTTACGTATTACAAACTCACATGTTAGTCTGGCAAAACCCTAGGTGATTGAAGTGAAATTAAGAAATATTGTGCAACTGAATCTCTTAGCTCAATTGGTAGAACACTGATCCGATAACTTGGAGGTTTCTGCTTCGAATCCTATCACAAACCCCAATTTTCATTCTAACTTCAATCATCACCTAGTATCACCAGTATTTCTCCGAATTTTTTCATTCCGACAACTAAAATGTAATGTACTTTTTACTGCTAATTGTTTGTTATTTTTATTCAATCACATATTCTTCGGTCACATGTTCATAAGAATAGAGTGTAATAAGCATAATAGAACAACAGTAAATGTGGCGTTTTTGTATTGATTAAAGTGTTGATAAACTTATTTCCTTATGGCCGTTGACCGATCCGTCAGAAAAAAAATAGCAGAAACGAAGACTGTTGGAAAGAATATTTTGATCATATCTTCTTACTTCAAACTGCTGCTCTGTTATTAGTTTGATGTTATGTTTTGGTGTTTTTTGTTTTGTTTGTAGGTGTGTGTACACGAGAGCCACCACTCTATTTAATCACTGAATATATGCCAAATGGGAATTTATTAAACTATCTGCGTACACGTAGTCCAGGTGAACTAACTCCACTTACCTTATTGTATATGGCTGTTCAAATCGCCTCTGGTATGGCGTATTTGGAAGCAAATAATTTCATTCACAGGTAATCCAAATACTAATAGGTGTCAGTTTTTTTCGTTTTAGTAGGTTAAGATGAATTTAAAGTATTCGATATATTCTAAATGTTGATAATTTATAGTTACATACCACAGTCATTTTGCTAACTTTTGTCAGGAAATTTTTAGACAAGTGATTCATCAATCCATCGATCGATAGCTACCTTGACCTGGTAGTCAGGTCTGCATACCACAGTGGGGCGACATTCAACTGGTGGGGGGGTAGTTGTGGCAGTGTCTGAATGTGAAGAGAGTACTGAATAAGTATATAGCGCTAATCAAAGCTCTCTACTCAAACTCACGCAGCCATGTCAGTGCTTATGGAGAATTGTCGTGTGAATTGGCAACAACTATATATATATATATATATATATATATATATATATATATATATATATATATATATATATATATATGAGATGTTTTGAACTTTTGTTGCCCTATTCGTCTTTGTCAAGCTTAGTTTTCAACATCAACACCTGTCTGGAGTCCACTTACAGTAATGATACTTTATTTGTTAACAATTATTGTCATTGTTTCTTGAATGTGTTGCTATAAATCATTGCAGTAATGATTTCCTGCTAATTATAATATACTGGGTAACTGAACTCGATAGCTTACCCCATAGCTTGATATTATTGAAGTGTGATCGCACGGTGAATATAACTAAAACCCTATGGGTTGGATTTCAAAAAACCAAACTCCTGGTCAACTGATTTCGTGTATGCAATTAATGATCTAAATCCGATGGTGGATAATTACGTAATATGTCAACTAAGGATAACAGAAGTGTCATTTAGTAATTGGTAAATCTTTACCAATGTATATTCCTTTGACTTCCTAACAACGTGAAATGCCAGCTGTTTAGTAATTCGTGTTGCGTAATCATTGATTGTATATTTCATAACTTTCAAATGTTGATGATACTATGCTCTAAACTACAACTCAGATATCATTCCGTATTCTAGGAACAAATTTTATTCTTTTCTTTATTTTCAATGTTATCAGACAGCTTACTGAGTAAAGATGAAGTGTACGACATTTCATTTGAAGTGCAGCCACCTCCTCCCGAAGGTTATCGATTTGTTTTTTCCCCAGTTATTTACCTCTAGTGGCTACACCGTAGCCACTGCTCTACCCTTTAGCTGTCCAGTCACCTTGGCCAGCTCACTAATATCCATAGGTTGGGCTGCCTTCACTAGTCGTGACTGCTGGGAAGTGGCATTCGGGACATTTCCGGTGAACTTTGCAGCCAACAACTGTATCTGAGAGTCGTCATCCAAAGTGGGAAGTGCTCGTCGAAGTAGTTTTGTCAGCTTCACAGCCAATACTAGTGGATCTTCGTGTATTCCAAGTTTCGTGCTCCAGAACTGTTGTATTGCCAGCTGTCTGTCCTCTGGGCTGTCAAACTCCGCTTCCTGGCGTTCAACCACTCTCTTCCACGTCTTCCTTCCATCCACACGTTCCACGCCATCATATGCTGTTTTCGCTCTACCTCTCAGCAACGTGGCAAGCACCACAACCTTCGTTGCTGGATTCCGGACACCCACCAGCTCAGCGACTGACTCGAAGTCCCTGAGGAAGACCTTGATGTCTCAATCCTCGAACACTGCATGTGATGGAAATTTCATCACATCCAGAAGCAGATACCAATTGAAGGAAACGAGAAGATAGAGATGAAGGAAAGAATGTTTATTATGACATTTTGTATACTACTCATGTATTGTACACTTTCTATTAAAACAGTCATTTGTATAATGTGCTTCATTCTCTCTTCTTTTTCTCTATCTTGATTTGCTCTTAATACGAACATATTGTCATTTGCTTTTCTCTGGTCAGAAGCCTTACCTATTGCTGGTAATTCCCTATGATTTCTGCCGTCCCATCAACGTATGCTACTTATATCCATTCTTATCAGTAGCACCTACTAAAATACTACTATATGGCTGCGCAAACCTTGGTAGTTGTGGCGGTGTTCAAACCCACGAGCCACTAATTGGAAGTCAACTCCTCAAACCGATGAGCCACGACTCCACATGGTGTTCGGCGTAGACAAAACAACTTTATTGCTGAAATCTTATTTTATTGGAGATACAAAATATTAGGTAAAACAGATGCATTGAAAGTTACGTCACTTTGATTGATACACTGACGCTAGAAGGTGTAGATGAAGGATAATCACTTGTTATATGGATGTTAATAGCGAAGACAGCTAAGCGAAAAGAAGCATTCAATTAAAAGGGACATAGGAAGATATTCAGTCTCTTTTGCAGAAATAAGATGGCGGTACCTATTTGTTCATCAGTGTTAATTCCTTTCAAGTTTATTGTATTAAGGATTATTCTACTCTGTAAGCATTCTTCTCTCAGAGGTTATATTGTACTGTAGCCTAGTAGCTTTTGGTGTATATATTGATTTAACAAAACTACTTTTATATCCTAAAAATTTTCTTCATTCTATTTGCAGGGATTTGGCTGCAAGAAATTGTCTAGTTGGTGATCGACATTTGATTAAGGTTGCCGATTTTGGTTTGGCTCGATATATGCAACGACAAGATACCTATACTGCTCGTAACGGTGCCAAATTCCCAATCAAGTGGACTGCTCCTGAAGGTCTTTCCTATTATGTGTTCTCTTCAAAGTATGCTAATTCTTTGCCCTTATGTGTATAACACCTCATGTGTAAATACTTTTCTATCACCAATTGGTTCTATTATTTAAGTTGTGCTTTAAAAGTGATTTATGAATTACTCAATAATTACAGATGATGACAACATGTTTCACGGTTTACAGATTAGCCAATGTGAATGTTTATTTAGCTAATTTATAGAGAAGGTATGACTGATATCTTCAAGCTCATGTATACTTTTGGTAGTGGCTGTTCATCAGTGTTCGAATACGATCATTTCAGTTTTCTTTTTAACAACTCGTTTTCATTATACATTTGTATAAAGCAGAATAATGTGTAGCCCTGTAACGTGTTGTATTCAACTGATTAGCTGAAGAACTTACTTAGGCAGAGAGAGAAGAAAATATGTAAATCGAAATTAGGGATTGAAGATACTGGGATAGCTGATATAATTGCTTTCTTACAGGATAGTATGGCAAATATGCTAGACTTTAAAGACTAGACACAAAACGTTGACAGGTATTTAGGACACTGACAGTTAACTACACAACTTATTGTGATTAGAAGGTCAAAGACTTTGTTGTCAATACTGAGGAGTAATGTGATGGTAAAGACAAGAATTTTAGGTGAAAATTTCGCATAATTACACAACTGCTCGTCTGATATTACTTTATGGTGAATATATCCAGCTGTTTTTTTCTTCTGTTAGCTCTTCTTTTCATCAAGCTACAATTTTCAATGTTGTTCAAATTATTATTATATCCTTTGCGTTCCTAGTGGAACATAGGGCTTCAGGAACACGTCACCATCTCTTTCTCTTCTCTACAGTCTTTTGAAACTGGCTCAACGACTACCCAGAAGCTTTCATCTCCTCTATGTCACCCTCAATTCAGACGCCCAACTAGTCATTTCCCATCCAGGTTCTACTCGGTGGCCTGGCCTGATCTGACTAAGTAGTCTTCTCAGTGTATGTCCAATCCAATCCGTCTCCACTTTCTTCTGCATATTTGTTGGGCCATAGGTTTTCGGTTGGTTGCCAGACAGAGTTCCTCCTTCCTTATTCTTATTATTCTGGCTATCTGATCTCCACCTTCAGTATCGAGTGAGTGTAGGCTGGATCAGTTGATGAATGTCTGTAGTTTGTTGGAAATGCTTTTCGTGACGCGCCAAATCTGTGAAGCATCACATGGAATCACTGACTTGACTGAATTAGTATTGAAAATCCGGATGTTTTTCACGCAGTCCAGTAGATCTCCACACCGATTTCATACTAGTGATGACATGTCTTGCTTTTCTGATCCTGTCCTTGCCTTCCTCATCTGTGCCTGTTCCGCCTGTAGTTGAAACGATGCTGCCTTGCCTGGGTAGGTGAAAGAGACAACTTCGTCTAGATTTCTCCCGGTCTTGGTGATGGGTGCTTGTTGTTGGCTGGATATCTTCATCACCTCAATCTTCTCTACGTTCACCTGAACGAAGTCTCGTCTTCCTTCGCCACCCCACCTCTTCTATCAACTTGTTGGTTTTCGCCTGTAGATCTTCGAGTTTGTGCGATATAAGACACTAGACATAAATCATCATAATTGGGGAAATCGAAATCTTCTGCTTGTTTCTTTTCATCAGTCCAGCGAGCGTATGCCCATCTTCTCGCTCCTCACGGTTTGCTGCATGATCCACTCCAGTCGACCACAATGAAAATGTTCGGTGATAGGAAGCGGAAACCTTGTCTTACCCCTGTCTTCACTTCGCTTCAATGGCATCACTGAGCTGAGCCTTTCCATTGTGAATCGCTTGTCATGTAACATCATATAGCATGTAGCTGTTGAATGAGGTTGATGGTGGTTTGTGGCGCTGAAACTGTAGTGTTGAAGCAGCTGCCTGCCAACTTACTTCTCGGTCAATGATATCGAAGGCTTTTTCAAAGTCGATGAAGTTGAGGTAAAGATCCAGTTAACTACCATTGTATGCTCTGTTTTACGATGATGCGTAGCGTAGCATCGCAATTTGATCCACATATGATTTGTTCTTCCTGAAGCCAGCAACTCATTGCAATCGTAATTTTGAATCGAGATCATTTTTTAGTCTCTCTAGGACGATTTGCCTAATATTTTACTTAGGTTGTTCAAATTGATGATAGAATAGTTTATAGTTTAGAACATTATCTCATCTACAGTCACTGCAAAGAATTCTCAATTCAGATTGTAAGGAAAAGATATTACAACATTCTCTATTTCTAAGGATCAACTATTTCTCCCAGTAGATCTCTCATTAATGTTTACACTGAATTTCAGTAATACTCATATACCGGTAATCGAAATGCATTCAGCAACTTTATACATAACCTTGTGTAGTAGATAATGAGCCACACCTATTGTGTGAAAGCTGATGATACTACTGCCTCGGTTTGGGTAGAGCAGTGTTCGAACACGTAACCCATTTGCTGGAAGTCAACTCCCTAAACCAATGAGCCACGTACATACTCGCTCTGTTCGATACAAATAATGAACTTCTAGAGAAAACTGTTGAGTGATATATCATCAGTTTTTAACTAACCCGTACAATTTTTTAAAATATTATACTTAAGTAAATTAGATAAGCATTCTGGTTTCCTAGTTATTTCAGGTACGTAAGATCACACTTAAAAAAATAAATGACCGTATATTTCCAAGACATTTCTCTACTTTAACAAACGATTCGTTCATTTGGTTCATTGCCAGAGTTCCTTGTTGCTTATTTTTATCCTTCTGGCTATCTGAGCTTCAGTAACGAGCCAGCGTCGGCAGTTGTTGATGAATGTCTGTAGTTTGTTGCAAATTCTTTTCGTGACAGGCCAAGTCTCTGAACCATATATAAGCCCTGACTTGACATTAGTGCTGAAAATGCGGATGTTGTTCATGCTTTATGCCGAATGGATTAGATCTTCACATTAATTTCAGGTTAGTGAACGCCTGTCTTGCTGTGTTTCCGATCCTGGCTCTGACGTCCTCATCTGTGCCGCCTGTAGTTGAAACGATGCTGCCTAGATAGGTGAAAGAGGCTACTTCTTTAGTTGAATATACTTTTTCATTGTTTTTTGTAGGTCTGATGTATGGGCTTTCGGTGTGGTTCTATGGGAACTTGCTACATATGGTCTTTCACCCTATCCAGGAGTTGAACTGCATGACGTTTATCATCTCTTGGAAAAAGGTTACAGAATGGAGCGCCCACACGGTTGTCCAGAAGCTGTTTATTCCATTATGCTAAGATGTAAGTGTTCACTTTAGTATAACTGTCTTCTGTTATGTTATTTTTGTGTAATAACCACACCTTTTATCCTCATGATCCCAGTTTCTTCTGCCTGATTGTCTAGTTGTACGTATTGATTTCGTATTCCACAATTATTTTGCCGAGCGTTGCACTTTAAAATTCTCTGCGCAGTGCTTTCGCATTTATAACTGTCAGGCATGTTAGTTCTTTTTATATTTCGTTTAACATGGTTTAAAGAACGTAATAACCTTTTAATGAGCCCCGGCTTCTAGTTAAATTCCATCTGTACAATTGCCACTTGTTTCCTGTTTCGACGTATCCTATTTTATATCATAGGAGAGGAAGAGTATACTGATTGGAAAGGCAATAGTTAAGCCATATTCTGTTTTTGTCGCGTGTATATTGATCGTTATGATTTCCTGCGCATGTGTTGCTTTCATTCTTCTAACATGATTAAATTCGCTTTTGTTGAAAATCTGTTACTTAGCAAATAAATTACCTACTAAACACAAACTTGATTCGAAATAGAGATAAAAACTTTCGTATACTGACAGTATTTTGAAGGAATTTTATTGTACAATGTTTAAGATAAAGGTGGACTCGTTTTTATATACTAGGTGTCTTTTGGCACAAATTATCACCAGTCTAGATAATAAAATTCTGAGCATAAGTGTTCATCACTTCTATATGCTGCTGTCTTCTAATATTCGTGAAGTATTGAGTTACGTAGAAAGCTGATAAAGTAAGGTACCTTACACAGTTAATTATAAGGTAGCATTCATCAACGACTGACATCATTTGAAAAAAACCGCTGAAAACTTTAGAGCGTTAGACAGCTGTTTAATCCTAGTTTCTCACCACCCAAATGCAAATTATTGCTCCAGGATTGGTCTTCAACGGTGCTCCACTGAGGCTAACAATAGAGAGTGTGGTGGTTGAGTGTTTTAACCACTTCGCTACTTACCTGGGAAGTAGGATCAGCCCTGCCATGGTGGCTCAGTGGCCGATGAAATCTCTGCACGAATAAAAAAGGCTCGGCTGGGTTTCGCCATCTTACCACGGATGGCGCCACCGTGATATCCGATTATCTATTGAAAGCCGCGTGTACTGCACCTACACAGCAGTCCCCTCTGTTCTACTGTATGGTTGTGAAACATAGCCATTGAAAGTGGAAGATATAAAAAGGCTTCAAGTGTTTGACCACCGTTGCCTTCGTAGTATAAGACGTATTTCGTGGTGTCATTACGTGAGTAATGAAGAAGTCAGGTGTAGAGTTTTAGGGAGAAGAGGTAAGTCAGTTGACGAGGTTATGAACCGTCATCGACTGATATGGTTGGGTGGGGCATGTGTTACGTATTCCCAGTCGCCGTCTGCCTCATCATACAATGTTGGACGAAGTAGGTTCAGGCTGGAAAAAGGCCTGAGGTGACCAGACTGAAACATGGCATCAATGTATGAAGTTTTTGACTGTTGGTTTGAATCATGTGGGGTGATGCAGACTAGCCGGTTGGGGTCGATGGGATGAGAATAACCAGTGATTGGTGACTCTAGGTGATATGGCTGAGAACCGATGTCAGTGGTGCAGATGTATCCCCACACATTATCCTCATCTTAGGAACGCTATACCGAATCCCACCATTTTCTCATTCTTCCTTTCTCTCTTTTCGTACTTTTATATTTCTTTTGACTGAATTTTCTTTTCGTCATCTTCCACTTTACTGCCTTTTTACTTGATGTACTGATATGAGCTGTGGCAACTTGGGCCGTTAAGTAGTAATGCCTGGTCCTATGTTAGTTTGGATGGATGAATGGACTCCAGCAGTATGCACCATGACCCCGCCTCACCAGGTGTCGAACTTACGACTTTCATGTTTCACGGCAGACGCGTTAACCAGCCACTGGGTTGCAATTCAGTGGTTTACGGTTCCCAACTTCTATCAATTCGCGATGTAGCGTGAATGTCACTCAAGGTTACAGACGGTGTCTGCTTCCCTTCTGACCGGTTGACCTCAGATCACGACTTCTCATTAGATTTCCAGATATTCATCTGGAAGCATGTAACTAATAACCACCATACAGTTGTATATTTTGAGGTTAATGGGGATTTTGAGTTAGTTTTTTCATCGCGGACCAGTTGAAGAACCATTGAATTCCATGGACCATTGTACAGCTGTTTAATCTCAATATGGAACTCCTCAGCAGGGTACACCCAAGTACCCTGCGAGAAATCGAGCTCAGAGCCTTCGGACATCACAGCGAGCACAATCCCTAGTGGGTTCATGGGTGCGCACTGCTGATGACTCCCACACTAGCTCAAAACAGCTGTCCAGTTCTCCCAGGTTTTCAATGGTTCTTAAGCTGATATCAGGCCATGATGAATACTACCTCAAAATTAAAATCCCCATTACCCTCAAAATGTATCACACACTTACAACTTGTGTAAGTATACTTTCAATGGTTCACATCAGGATTTTCAAAATTTTTCAAATAGTCCTACTATCTAGATAACTTTCTAAAGGGGAGTTGTCATACAGAATGTCCATCAGCAATTATTAGCTGCATTTTTTGTTAATTTGGACTTCTCACCTTTTTTTTTATATTTCCCATTCTTATTAAGGATGAATATTTCATGTAGACAGTATATAGCCTTATCATCTTATTCAATTGGCATTTTTTTGCTTCTGTAATACCCCTTATACCCTAAATACTTGATCTCACCACTACATACCACATAGGTCCATCAACTGCTTCAATGATTAAAACCTTCACCGTTTCTTGTTTTCTCAATCTCAATATAAACTTAGTATAGAATAGGATAAGATATATTGCGTCGAGTCTTCAGATAGAGTCCACCTGAGTGTTTCGTAGCCATTTTACTAATCCTTCAATAATCCTCCTAGTACAACCATTTTCTGGGTATTATAAACCTGTACCATTAATAACACCGTATGTACATACACTATGTATATAGGTTTCCAAAACTTTCTATGTACAAAAAGAAATGTGCGCCTTAAGTATCTAATGTTTATGTAGAAGTGAAGCGTTTTGGATTAATTTTAAAACTATTGTGATAGTCTTTGAAGAACAAAGACAAGTGTGGGTAGACTATACCTTTTCATGTAACTTTAGTCGATTGGTGACTACACTTCCCTTACACAAAAACATTATACTGGGTATCTCTAAGTGTTGCAACTTTCTTTGAATCTTTGTGTCAAAGTGATGTTTTAGACTTACAACAGCAAGTTGTATCAGCTAGCAGGTAGATTTACATTCTTAAAATCATTAGGAGACCGTGAATATATTTTTTAATTTAAGGAAAATATTCTAAATCCTCAGTCAGATCATTAATTATTAGGACAATGTAAATCGAGAAAGAAGTTATAAATGTGCATGTTTGTGATTAAGATTTTTCTTTTAGACATGTGATTATGGCTTTGATAAATAATGATTCGTTTAACCAATCCACTAATGTTTATTATGCGTCCGACTTCACTGGGATTCATCTGGTTGACTTGGAATATGCAGACGATATTTGTCCTACTAGGCAATGACGCTGACAAAATGCAGAGTGGGGTCTTCTAAACTCATTGAGTAGAAACGTGATTATGCTTGGCATGCATTTCGCACCTGTCAAATGCAAGATAATGCCCTAGGACTGGTCTGTTACGAATGCTTCTAGCTTATTGATAAGGAGTGAAATGGTGGAATATGTCGACCACTTCACTTACTTGGGAAGTTGCATCAGCCCGAACGGTTTTGTTGCTGGCGAAATCTCATCTTGAATACAAAAGGCATGTTTGACATTTGCTGAATTGCGTCATCTATGGTGCCGACCGGAAAGATGTGAGATTATCTATCGAAGGATGAGCATACTTCACTGCAGAACGTTCTGTTTTGTTTTACGGTTGGTCGTTGAAAGTAGAAGATTTCAAGCGATTACTTGGTTTTGATCACAGCTGTCTTCGAAGCATTGTTCACGTTTGGTGAAATCACTGTGTGAGCAATGTTGAGGTCCGTCAGGCGTAGAGTACTAGGTAAGACAGGCAAGTTGACTGATTAGGTTGTGAAATTTAGTCGACTGAGATGGGTTGGACATGTACTGCGCCTTCTGAGCCACTGCCTACTTCGATGTGCCATTCTAGAGGAAGTTTGATCAAGTTATAGGAGCAAGACGTGACAGCAGTCGATGAAGTCTTGTACTGTTGATTTCAGCTGTTTTGGGAAGATCTAGACTGCCTGGTTGACCTCTATGAGATGATAGGATTGAGTGGTTGAGGACTCTTGTTGACGTCTCTGAAAATCGGTTACAATGGCACAGATGTAAACACTTCCTGAAATCTTATAAAACTTGAATACATTGACACTGCTTTATCTACTTTGATATTCTTTTTCTATTAACATGTTCTTTGTGTACTACTGTAAAATGTGGCAAGTTGAGCCGATACACTTTTTTTCCGATGTTCTACTTTTAATTTTATCAGTTATTCGCTCAGAAAAATTTTTAAAAGGTATAATTGGTTGTCACTTTGTTTCAGGATATTATTGACTTTTGAATTTTGTGTGCCATATGGTGGGGATTATCATAAATATGCATAGCAGTAATTGAAGCAGATTCGAACTTAATTATAATTGCAAATGAAGTGAATGTTTGATGAATTTCTACACGTACACTCCTGTAGCGAAAAAAATCATATCCATCGTTGCTTCATTTTGTCGTTATTCGTTACTTATCTAACTGTTTAAAATTAGTAAATTAAATGAATTCAATCAGAAAAGTGATAATTTAACCTGTGAAACGTTGATTTACCTCTCTACTACTCAGTCAGTACTCAAAGTAATATTTTTGTTCCCTAGAACGAATAACTATCGGTATCGGTCAGTGCGAATTTGTGGTCATGTTCGATTTCTATTTTTATTATTATTTGTCCCTTGCATTCCTATTGGAACATAGGCCTTTAGTAACACGTCACCTTCTCACTATTTTCTCTGCAGTATTTTGAAGCTGGCTCAACGACTGCCCAGAAGCTTTCATTTCTAGCCCACATGATCTCCTCTATGTCACCCTCGACTCAGACGCCCAGCTCATCGTTTACCATTCGGGTTCCACTCGATGGCCTGGTCTGATCTGACGCATAATGTCTCCGAATCGTCTTCTCAGTGTATGTCCAATCCAATCGACTCGATCTCCACTTTCTTCTTCTGCATATTTGTTGGTCGATAGGTTGTTGGTTGGTTCGTTTCCAGCCAGAGTTCTTTGTTGCTTATTCTTATTATTTTGGCCATCTGATATCCATCTTCACTATCGAGTAAGCGTCGGTGGCATCTTTTTGTATATCTGCAGTTTGTTGGAAATGCTTTTAGTGACGCGCCAAGTCTGTGAAGCATCACATGGGAGCACTGACTTGACTGACATTAGTGTTGAAAATCCGTATGTTGTTCACCCTTTATGCTGAGTGCAGTAGATCTCCACACTGATTTCAGATTAATGCAGGAAGTCCTGTCTTGCTGTCTTTCCGATCCTGGCCTTGACATCGTCATCTGTGGTTGTGTTGCCTGTAGTTGAAACGATGCTGCCTTGCATGTGTAGGTGAAAGAGACAACTTCGTGTAGATTCCTCCCGTTCATGGTGATGGGTGCTTGTTGTTGTTGGTGGTGGTGGTAGTGGTGTTGGTTGGGTACCTTCATCACCTCTGTCTTCTCTATGTTCACTTGAAATCCCGTTTTCGCTGCCTCTTCTATCAACTTGTTGGTTTTCGCCTATAGATCTTCGAGTTTGTGCGAGAAGACATAAATCACCATAATTGTCGAAAACCAAATCTTCTGCTAGTGTCTTTTCATCGGTCCAGCCAGCGTATGTCCCTCTTCTCGCTCCTCACAGTTTGCCGCATGATTCAGTCTAGCTGACCACAATGAGGAAGTTGATGGATGTTAGTTGGCGGCAGCCTTGTTTTACTCCTGTCTTCACTTTAAAGGTATCACTGAGCTTTCCATTTTTCGATTTCTTGAACTACTCATTCCATCGTGTTCAGCCGTCACATCCCCTTAAAGGGTATATCCCCATATTTTCCCGATATTCATGCACATTTTTCTGATTCATGAGTTTTATTTGACTATAATTTCGTGGTTTAGAGACCTAGATTTCAGTACTTTAATAGTCAAATTATATGACTAGTCTTATTGAAGTATGCGTGCTACATATTCTTGTCCACTTGTTCACTGAATTCTCCTATCTCGATTTTACTTTTTCTTGGTACAATTGACTGTGGTCTGTCGTTTTTTTGGTTATCAGCATATACAATAGCATTAATATAATTAGAAATTTCAACATTTACGTGAAATGATAGTAACCAGTGTTGTTGTCTAGCTCAAAATATATTAATTGAACGAACACTATTACTCTTAACTGTGGGGTACGAAATTCTGATGCACCTTGATGTTAAAATGTTGATGATGAGCCGATTAGATGTTGATTCACAAAATAAATGTATTTGTAGCTTTAACAAAACCCATGTCTCTTTAGAGATTCCAGCATTAATGCCTTCAAGATTTTAATCACATGTTTTGGATTCGCTCATTGAAACACATCACCTAAAGTACATCTGATCATCATTAGTAATTTACAGATCATATTCATACTAAAAATTCGACTCTACAAAATAATAGTTCTACACTTTGCTGAAGGTATTATATGTGTATGATAGCATGCGTCAACTTTTATTTCAATAATAAAACGTCTAGGAATGTTAAATATACATTTATATTTTAACCATCGAACAAATTATCAAGGGGAGTGAACAAATTCCCAACTATTATGTACACATGTTTTCTTGTTTGGGAACACTTATGGATAACTATAGCCTTTATGGCACAATCTTTTGAATGCATTTTCCTTTATCTCCTACTTTATAATTTTATACCACAACATTTTCTCTGTAATTCTTTGACTAGGTTGGGCTTGGGATCCTAATTTACGACCATCATTTAATGAAATACATGCTGAGCTTGAACAAATGTATGCTACTATGAATATTGAAGCTGGTAAGTGGAATTGGTTTATATCTTACTTTTTTGTATTTAAACAATTTTGCTTGGAATCGACTTACAACTAACTGTACATTCATATGAATATTAGATTTATCCTTTCTCGATCTTCAGTTGGAACTCCACTGTTAGTGTCAGTTGCTGTTTCAAGAGTGTCAAGAAAAATTAGTCATGCAAACAACAATAAGCATAAGAGTCATTTGATAATATCTCTCCAGCGAAATTTGTTCTTTTTTTACTGCTGTGAAGTGTGGCAACTTGAGCCGATGTACCCGTGTGCAAAGTTCTGTGTTGGTTTTTTTCGGTCAGTCAGCTTTTTTTTTGATAGCCCAATTCAACTTGAGCTACACTCGCACATTGAAGTAGTTGGTGGCTAGACTTGTGTGATGCATGTCCAAGTAATCTCAGTCGATGGAGGTTGACAACCTCATCAGCGAACTTGCCTGTCTTAATCAGTACCCTTCGTCTAGCCTTATCGTTGCTCACGAGGAGTAGTAGGAGGAGTAGGAAACCATCAGGTCCTGCTGCTTTGCTTCGTTTTAGGTTTGAAACAGCTTTTCCAACGTTTAGGATAGTTGAAAGATGGACATGAGGTTTGAGTTGGGCAGGAAGCTACTGTATTGGGGTTTTATGCCAGTTAACTATGATTCAGGATGTTCCGTTCAACCTTCTAGCCACCTGTCGTAAGAAGTTATCAGCGACCCACCCTTTTCCGTAATGGTTTCACTGAACATGATCTTCTTCTTGTCAGTGTGTTCCTTTAGCTTAACATCTTTCTAGCGTTATCTAGTGCTGATGTTTTTGTCTTCTCTGTCGCTTTCATCACGCGCTATTGCTCTCGATAGTCAGTTTATGTTTGAGCTGTTTCCACTGCTCATTGTGATCACAACCAACTGGGATGAGTCTTCTAGTATTGATCACTTCGGATGATGCAAATACATCGACCTTTGTTAACCTTTAGATGTGTGTTAGCAAGACGTAGGCATACACGTGTCCGTACTAGCGCGTGATTGATGTTCACATAGATACTTCAAAAATGGCTATAATCTTCCACCGATCCCCTCCAACAATAGCTGATATCAGTATGATCTATCTGTGTTCATCACCGATTTGGTGTCAGCGGATTCCAAATGAAACAGTTTCCCTTCTCTTATTACTGGCTAGAAAAGTGATTATCAGAACGAAATTGTAGCAGATGATCACCATTATGGGTTTACTGAAATAGGATTCCATAGCTACCTTTCAAATACCTTTGTGATTGGCTCAGCTTTCTTACTTGAGCATTGAGGTCGCCATCTACCATAAATATATGTGGATGTTTTACTTTATGTAACGAAATTGATAGCTTTTAGAAGAATTCGGCCTTTTTGTCATAGGAAAGGCAGTAGACGAGCGCGTGGATGAAGACTTCAAATAGGCACCAACAAGTGTTACGACTATTCCTCGCTCTTGCAAATTCTTTCGGTTGGACAGCAGACAGATGGCTGTTGACTGATATACAATCGAGAAGTGCGATTTTTGTTCGAGAATTTTATGCTATACCTACATTAGCAAGTTCACGACATTGGTCAGGTGAGGTCAAGAGATCAACCGTACTCAGGTTCTGTGTGTTTCAGAAACACAATACCTTCTTGACTCGAGATCTGAGAGTTTTGGCAAGAGATGTCTGTTATCCGTTTTGTCATGGGGCTTGGAACATTCATAACTCCCGTGGTCTGGATATTTTTATTATGATTAATTGGTTTGAAGTAAATTATTTTATCTACATAAGAATCGATAAGCCATAAACTAATTTTGATACAACATAATCACCCAATCGACCAAATTCGCTACATTTCACAAGAAGACATCATGAAGGTGTCATCCAAAGGTAATATAGAAAATGGATGCAAATAACAGTGATAATATTTACTAGTAGCATTCGTCACGGACTGACATCAGTTGGGGGACCACTGGACACCTGTTTCATCCTAGTATGGGACTTCTCAGCAGTATGCACCCTTGGCCTGACTAGGTACCGAACTCAGAATCTTCAGGTTTCATGGCGAACGCGCTAATGTACAATACTTATAAAAAATATTTAGGGGAAACTGGCCAACATGCAAAATGTATTTTCCTTTTTATACTATTGCTACTATGTACTATATTATTATATACGTAAATATTTTTATTTACCAACAGTGAATTCGGCATTTCTCAAGGTACAGTGTCGTAGAGGGTATCAAATAATGCCTATAAGTATGTGTTTATTAAAACAGTTGTAACATGACTGACTCATTCACCTCTTTCATCTAACTCCCATAGATCATATTCATTTTACTAAAAGTATATACTGTTTCCCATTGATTCAATTATTGAATCATTCGCGTCAGTGTAGCTTCGCATATCAGTTGCTGTATGTATATAAACTTATGGTGGATGTCAAGTATATCTCTTATCCATCACTTTAACGCTTTTACTTCAGTTTACTTCGGTGCATAAGGGTAGGACTTGGGGACTGTTTTAGAATTCAATTCCATATTAGATTTGTTTATTTGGTTTATAACACACAATGATACCGTATTATTCACTTCATAATGACGCTTCGAGCATAAATTATCATTGCTCATAATCATATCAATGTAATCACACTACCTTCGACATCTGATTTTTTTTTATAGTCTTGTCATCTCTTATTCTTTGTCTCCATTGGTAGAAAATCTTCCATATCTCTGACATATCGATGTTACGTCATTTCTATTACATACAAATGTTAGGTTGGGTGTTGATTCAATGAACAAAGATTCAGTAATCAATATCTCTCCCTCTCTCTAATTGTATTGGACTTGAGTACAGTGGTTTTATCCCACCCCTATTATGTGGTTGTGTTAATGCATGCATTGCAGTAACTGAGTTGTTTTCTAGATTATTGATCTTATTGCAGTCTGTCATTTTATATTAAGCTAAATTCCTATGTTGCGTTAATCTAACTGACCAATGTACTTGACTTCACAGTCATTTCATGGAATTTGAGAGATTAGATTATTTTGCTTGATTGGCTCCGTCGAATCCTTGAAGCAGGCGGCAAAGCTTATCTCTGAGTGGCTATATGTGGATGACGCATATACTGTGTTCGAATCGGAGCACATCGATAGTTCCCCTATACATATAAACTCGGTAGTATGCGCAATCCAACTCACCAGGTAGAAAATAAACAAGGAGAATTACCTATGATGGATTGCAGCATAGAACGAAGGACAGAAGATGGTTCGGATACTATCGTCTACAAAAACCGACACATTCTAACAGGTATCTAGACTTCAAGTCATCTCATCCGATGTCAGTTAAGACAGGCCTAGTCAAGTATCTGAATGATAGAGCTAGAAAACTGACTTGTCAGTGCAAGGACCTAAACAAGGAACTGAAGCACGTAAAAGAAGCGCTAATAGATAGGATTTTTTGTCCTCAGTTTATTACGAAATTCGCAGGAATAAATAAGAAATGAAATAATAATAATAATAGCCATACGAATAAAAATAATAGCGACAACACGAGTAGAAAGGGGTTCACAGCCTCCATTATGCTACCTTATAAGGAGGGTACATCCGAAACTTTACTTAGGATTCTCAACAACGCTAGAATTAGTTTGGCATTTAAACCTACAAACTCACTCAGAGATAAGCTTAGTGATCCGATAGAACCAATTAAGCAAAATAATCTAATCTCTCAAATTCCATGAAATGACTGTGAAGTCAAGTACATTGGTCAGTTAGATTAACGCAACATAGGAATTTAGCTTAATATAAAATGACAGACTGCAATAAGATCAATAATCTAGAAAACAACTCAGTTACTGCAATGCATGCATTAACACAACCACATAATAGGGGTGGGATAAAACCACTGTACTCAAGTCCAATACAATTAGAGAGAGGGAGAGATATTGATTACTGAATCTTTGTTCATTGAATCAACACCCAACCTAACATTTGTATGTAATAGAAATGACGTAACATCGATATGTCAGAGATATGGAAGATTTTCTACCAATGGAGACAAAGAATAAGAGATGACAAGACTATAAAAAAAAATCAGATGTCGAAGGTAGTGTGATTACATTGATATGATTATGAGCAATGATAATTTATGCTCGAAGCGTCATTATGAAGTGAATAATACGGTATCATTGTGTGTTATAAACCAAATAAATAAGCCTAATATAGAATTAATTCAGTGTGATTTAATTTTTTAAAACGCCGAATAAATTAATATATAATAATATAATAATAATAATAATAATATAATATATAATATAATATATCAGCGATTAGTTGTTAATTTTCTCTCATCGTTTTCCAAAACTATTTTCTGAACTTCTAGTTATCATTACTTTGGTAACAGGAAGCTTTACTTAATATATCACATCTGCACCTTTAATTTTAAGGCAACTTATTGGAGTATCGTTTTAACACAGATTTCTGATATCATTAGAGCTTATCTCACAAGTAGATCTTCTTATTTATCACATCATGATTTAATACAGTGTTATAGCTTAACCAATCTTATTAATCTATTCTAAATTCCTTGTAGATCATTTAGCAACTGAATGTTTGTAAAATAACCCTTTTGTTTTTTAAGAATTCACCTTTTTATGTAAAACTTGTTCATCAGCTGTTACACTATCAGCAAGTGAATGTCATGAAAATTCAGCTAGCGAATATTAACAACTTTGCACTATCGTGTAGCACAATAATTATTACAGTGAAAAAAACCACTGTCGAGTTATTTTAATTTCAATGAATTAGGCAGTTATCACGTTGATGTATAATGGTGACTGATTGATTGATGAAGTCAAGGTTTACATGAGGTCAGTTAAACTACAACTCTTCAAGCTGTTCACCTCTCCAATGAGTAAGAAATATTTGCTTAGTGTTTTCTCCACTAAATATTTAGACCTTTAAGCAGCTATAATTGAAATTTGAATGTTGTTAACAATTTTTTGCCCATCATAATATGTATGTACATTAGTTGTAAAATTTACTGCTTCGTAACATTGGATACTAAATATTTTAATAAGTGGTTCATTTTTCTTCTCATAAAATAACCGGCATACTAACCAATGAAGCTGAACAATAAATATTTTCTCTATCCAAATATTTTCCAATTTAACTTGATTTTTCTTTACAATACTTTAATAACTCTGGTTACGTTTTTGTAACTGGTTAAGTTATTTCATAATGTACACTAGCTAATATTGAAGTGATTAGAGTTACTGCAACTATGCTCTCCTTCGACCATGATGTATTATTAACTTATAATGAAGCGATCTCGAGAATGTCTGAATTCGTTTAGTCGAAGCAGTGTTGGAAAAGGGCGAATCGCAGAAAGATTGTTTATTACGATAATTTGTACATTAGTGATATACATTGTATTTGTGTGAGTCACAGAGTGTTTGAAATCAAATAATTCTAACGTTTCGCACGGAAGTCTGCTCCAGACAGTTGGAACAGACGAGATGAGGGTACAGTTAGCTGCCCCTCTTAGCAGTTGCTAATTAGTAAGCATAAAGAGTGATTCAAGGCATTCACTGTCAACACCAGTCTCAACTTCATTATCTCTGCATGAATAACAACGCAACGTAGATTGGTTTGGTTCATTATTACTATCATCATCGTCACCATCATTACTACCACTCATTTCCACTCTATTCCGGTAAATCAATGCCAAAAAAAACTCGTAGATACTATTCATCACCACATTTCAACTGAAATGGCATACATGTCCGCCTCATCCATTCCATTGTACTTATAAAATTACCAAATTAACAGATGGATATCACAAAGTTCTAATGAGAAGCTGTGAACTGTGGAGTCAACCAGTCGAAAGGGAAATGGATGCCAACTGAAGACCTTGAATGATATATATATATATATATATATATATATATATATATATATATATATATATATATATATATATATACGCCAGTCATACAGCAAGACATACAATTTCACGTTGAATGATCAGTTATCATATTTTAGAAAGACAATGACAATGTGAAGATGATTGGACAAAGAAATGAAGTACACGTTTTTGGATTCATTTGTATATGCTTGATATTTTAATTCTTGTTTATTTCCCTGATGAAGCTTGAACTAGACTTTCATGCGAAATATAGGAATTATTTGATTTCAAAGACACTGTGACTTACACAAATATAATATATATATATATATATATATATATATATAATGTCAACGTTTCACTCAGCGTCCAATATTTGCCTTACTATTCGATCAAATCTTGATCACAGTTCATAATACATTTATATACTAGTGATAAAATATTATAACTTTCTATTGAAAGTATCAATTTACACAATATGTTTAAGTTCGTCATCTTCTATCTCTTTTTTTCCTACTGATACGACCAGATCTTTAGCGCTTCTCTGAACAGGATATCATTTATAAAGCATTCGTAGTTGCCTATGATATTTTCCGACCTCAACATATACTACTTTTATGCATTCCTATCAGTAGTTTTCCAGGTGGAATCAGAAGAGTTAAAAAAAAAACAATGAGTATTAGCCATCTTCTAACATCTCTCATTATTCTCTTTGGAGATATTAGTCTAGGTTATATTTTGACTATATTTAAACATCTAACTTCAACTTGTCCACAGGTTGACGGTTAGTGCTTCCTAAATAATTTCTCACCCAATACTCCTTGACGTTGAATTCATATTTCATACTATTTCTTGGATGGTGACTGATTGTAGAGTCCACGACTTACGTTTCACTTCATTCAGATGGCGTTAACTGGATGCAACTGCATTCCTAGTGAGTAATGTTCCTACTAAGCCTTGAAATCATCACTCATTGCGCCTAATGTGTAACTTTCTGAATCAATCGAGTTGCCCGTTGTGTCATGGATATTAGTTATGATTCTGATTTTCTATTATCCCGTTGATTCGCTCTATGAAGGATAGTTGATTGGCCCTAATCATCAACATATATATTAGCATTTTTCTCTAGTTCACCTCAATATTACTATGATTTACATATTTCAATATTATGGCATTTATAAGTAGGTAAATGTGAAATCTGGAACTTATCAGTTGGATGTAATTGCATCTCAGTGAGTAATTATGATCAGAATAACATCAAAGATTAAAGCATAGTATTATCGATATAACACCTTAACATTTTCATCTATTGGCAATACTGTATTGTTTCTATGCAATAAAGCTAAAAAATAACCCCCCCAGAAAATTCCACTTTTAATAGGTATCCTGTTCAAAAGAAGTATGGTATACTGTGTCTGTTGGAATAAACCTAGAATATACTTTATGTTTTGCGCGCTTACATTCGCAGACACAACAGTATTACTCATATTTGGTTTATCATTTCTGATGTTGAAAAGGTTAAATGAATAACTAGTTTCTTCGACAACCATAAAGAGGAAAAGAAACGTTGTAAAGAAAATTATTCAGTTTCTTTTTGTGCATTTTTTTTCCATATGTCTACATCTAGTTGTTTGTTTTTTCCCCCGGTCTCCTTTTTTTTCTTATAGAAGTTGCTTTAGAGTTAGCCAAACAACCAGGTAGTTTTATATCACAGCAACCTGATATTTCACACAGATTCACAGAAATTCCAGCACAAGACTTTCAAGGGAATTCAATGAGTCAACTTGATTTAGCTTTCAAAGAGTCATCATTCTCAAATAATAGCATACCTTCAGATGGTATGAATTCTGAACAAATGACCACTAGACACATAAACTCTATACCTTCTAGATCAAATATGGATTTTGGTTGTTGTAATTTTGAACAAAACCAACCAAATAATGTCATATCATCATATGTTACAATGAATTCAACTGGTCATCCTCTGCATCATATTGAAAGTGTTACCTCATCTAGTAATTGTTTAATGCCAGAGAAAATAATATTCATCGATCAAAATCGTATGCCTAAAGACAAAGTTGAAGTTGTATCGTCTGCCTCATCGTCTGAGGAAGGAGGAGGAGGTGAAACCGATCACTTTGGTCATATTACTAATGCATTAGCTATGGTTTCACTTGATACTACTGAAGGGAATAAGAAGCGATTGTTAACTACAGATGTTCATTCAGTTCATCATGAAACTGTTTCAGATTTGAATTCAAGTAAATCTTTATTTTATGTTTATCAGTTCATCTAGCATTCTCTCATTTTATGTTAGTATTTGTACACATATCTGTTTATTGTCTGATGTTATACTTCAGGTGTATGCGTATGCAGAATATGATTTACAAAAGTCGGTTCTCATAGTGACCACGTTATACGTTATATGAGTATGGGACACGACCGTTAAAAGTAGAAGATATGAAATTATTACAGGGTTTTAACCACAGATGTCTTCATAGCATTGCACGCGTCAGGTGAAATCACCATGTGAGAAATACTCACTTCAGTCAGGTCTAGGGTACTAGGTATGACAGACAAGTCGACTGATGAGGTTTTCAACTTTCATCACCTGACATGGCTTCAATATATGTTGTGCATGTCGAGTCACCACCCACCTCGAAGTTGGATTAGGTTGCAAAAGCATTTCTGATGGCAAGACGAAGACATGGTACTAGTCGATGAAATCTCTAACTAACTGTTGGTCTGAGTGGTGTGGGGAGAACTGTTGGTTAGATGGCTGAGAATTGGTCACACTGGTGATGTGTTCACTCCTTGACATTTTCCAAAGCTTGAATATTTGCACTAACGGTCATCTTGTTTATTCTTACACACAACTTTGTCTACAATGATATGAGTCTTTTTCTATCCTATTCACTCTTTGTATACTGTTGTGAAGTGTGGTAACTTGAGCTAATACGCCTATGTGCGAAGTTCACTGCACTGTGGGCAAATGACTAGTAATCACTGAGTTTCATCAGTTTGAAGCAGTAAAGTTTAGCGTATAACTGATGTTAACATACTTCCAGCAGTGAAAATATTAAAAATAGACAATATTTTTCCAGCAATATCGTAAATCTACTATTGTATCGAGTAGTTTGTATCACAAATGTCCGATGAGTTGCATACAATAAAAACTAGCAAGATGATGCAAACTTGTCAAACCAATAATCGGTAATGTTCATACAATAGATTTTGTCAGAGTTAGAACAGCACACTGAGTAATCTCTATACAGAAAGGGATGAAAGCAATGCACAGTCAATATGACACAAGAAAAAATCATACAGGTTAGACCAACTTCATCAACAGGGAAATGATAAGCCAAAAAAATTAATCAGTAGAAATTTCATGAGATAATATTTATTTACCTAATTATCATTATGAATCAGACAAACTATTTACTACGAAAAAAAGAACGATACGAGGCCTACATACGATGAATCATCATCATTCCAAAGTAGCGACCAACTATACGTTACATACATATACAAAGATAGACACATTTGCATCTAAAAAAATAGTCAACTGTTGATATGAATACAACGAACTACAGTGTTCCTTTACAACGGCTAAATCTTCATTTCAACCAAAATAGATTAGAGTATGTGCAAATAACAATGAAAAGGTGTAATTCTTTACAGTAAACGATGTCTTAACACACAAAACTATTGTGCAGTATACTGTACAAACAAAACATACTACTACCACCACCATTGATAGAGGTAAATATGAAATCAAATAAGAAAGAAATATACAAGGTGAGAGGGCAAAAAAGAAACATGAAAGCATTGATGAGATTGAAATAAAATCATGACTAGTAAGTGAATGACAAATATTTTGTCCTTTAACCCGCTGTAAACAATACTATCAGTAAACAAAAGATATATTTTATATCCAGGTAACAAATAATAAATAACAGTTTTTACTACTCTACAACTGTAAATATCAGACAGACAGAATCAATGCAGAACTTCGCACATAGGTGTATTAGCTCAAGTTACCACACTTCACAACAGTATACAAAGAGTGAATAGGATAGAAAAAGACTCATATCATTGTAGACAAAGTTGTGTGTAAGAATAAACAAGATGACCGTTAGTGCAAATATTCAAGCTTTGGAAAATGTCAAGGAGTGAACACATCACCAGTGTGACCAATTCTCAGCCATCTAACCAACAGTTCTCAACCATTCATTCCTATCATCTCATGGACACCAGCTAGAAAGTCTACATCTCCCCCACACCACTCAGACCAACAGTTAGTTAGAGATTTCATCGACTAGTACCATGTCTTCGTCTTGCCATCAGAAATGCTTTTGCAACCTAATCCAACTTCGAGGTGGGTGGTGACTCGACATGCACAACATATATTGAAGCCATGTCAGGTGATGAAAGTTGAAAACCTCATCAGTCGACTTGTCTGTCATACCTAGTACCCTAGACCTGACTGAAGTGAGTATTTCTCACATGGTGATTTCACCTGACGCGTGCAATGCTATGAAGACATCTGTGGTTAAAACCCTGTAATAATTTCATATCTTCTACTTTTAACGGTCGTGTCCCACACTCATATAACGTATAACGTAGTCGATTCACCCTCGTACAGGTCTTTACCATGCTTACTTTTCTTGGGTTTGCTGATCTCAAGCTCCAGTTGGGTGTCGGTTAACTATTGACCTTAGGATCTTGGATACAGTGTTAGACAAAAATATTCTTCTGTAGTTGTCTTAGGAAGATTTTCCTCCCTCCATGTAGACTTGGATGATCAAAAAAGTACACTACTTTGACGGCACTACCTCTGATTCCCGTTAACTTTCTACTATATCGGTCACTTTTATTAATAATTTTCTGCCTTTATCCTTGAAACCTTCCGGTGCCAAACTGTCAGGTCAAGCTGTTACGCATCGTTTCGAGTTCGGTGCGGCTTTTTCAACTTCAAGGAGACCTAGAGGACCGACATCTGCGTCCTATTCAGGTTGGATGTTGGCTAACGTAAACGTTGCTGACGGCCATTTGGACTGTGCTTCAGTGTTCTGCCCAACGATTCACCCGCCTGTCCTCGGAGGTTATCAGTGTCCCATCCTCTTTGGTACTGGTTTCACTAACTATCGTCTTCTTGCCAGTATCATCGATTAACCCAGAATAGTTGTTGAGTGTTACCCAACGCTGATGCCTTCTCCATTCCTCTAGCTTTCTCCAACCACCACTGCCCGTGACCGACGCGAAAACTCTTGATCAAGTTACGCTTGATTCACTTTCGCTCTTCATCGTGGTCAGAGCCTACTGAAATCAATTTTCTCGCATCAATCAGTTCAGCTGACGTCATGGAAATACAATGACTTTTCAACCTTCAGATGTATGTTAGTAATTGTATTTGCCGCCGTTTTCACAGCAAACCTGATATCACGCCAGTTTTCCTTAGAATGAGTATTACTGTCATGCTCAGATAAATGCTTGACTACCTCTTCCCTAAATGCAGACTTGACTTTTTTTATCTTCCAATTGACCATAGACAGGCTTTACTATTGTTCGTTTCTGCGATCAATAAAGCGCAGACATACACGAACCCGTATCATAGCGTGGTCGGAGTCCAAGCTGGTACTACCGAAACAGCGACAATCTTCTAACGATCGTCTCCAATGATGGCTTATAGCAATGTGATTTATTTGTGTCCATCGTTGCTTTGAAGTTGGCAGACGCCATATGGGACAGTGTCTGTCCTTATGCTTAGATTTAGTGATGGCCAAAAACGAGTGATTGTCGGCGCAAAATTGCAACAGACAATCACCGTTATCGTTTCGTTGGCATGAGATTCCGTAAATTCTCCCAAGATGTCCTTCCGATTGGCTCAGATTCCCTACTTCGGCGTTAGTCACGTGGCCTTATGTGACTACATCTGAACGCCTTGCTTTTTGTAGCTTCTCATAGAATTCATCCTTTGCATCATCCGAACTACAGTCGGTGGGTGGTGAGCTGGTGGAGATTACAAATCGGCATCGGTTGGTCTCACGATCCTTCCTAGTCCTAATAGATTCATTTATTTATTCGAACAGCACCTAGACGGCTGTTGACAAGTATCCAGGAGAAAACTCAATGTTATGGTTACACTAGAAAGTCCACGAGAGATAGCCATTTAGTCCCCGAATACCCTTAAGGTGAATTCTGAAGATTCATTACTATGGTCAGGCGATGTCAATTTAATAATCACACTGAAGTCCTGTATACGTGTCTCAGAGACACGGCATACATCCATGTCTAAAGATTCCAGAGTTTTGGCGAGCGATGGATGTTATCGGATTGGGCACAGAGTTAGGACGTCGAAACCCTCTACATGAAATTGATGGCGCATGGGGTCTTATGAGACTAGGAATCAGGTTTCGATGACTTTAATCGTTGGTAGTGTTCACAGAATGAGGTTTAATATTATTATCAGGAGGTGATGGTGAAGGCGGAGGTGGTTGAAGAGGATTGGTTGTGTTTGATTGGGTCTTGTGTGTACCACTGGAAGCGTGAGGGCTGTTGACGCTTCCCAGCTGTCCACACCATAGAAGACTATTTCTTGAGGTATATAAAAGAAAAAAAGATTTGTGTTACTGCAGAGCCCGTGGGACATCTATTTAAGATCTGTTACACATGGTTTTTTCGGGGTGTTGTTTTGAGGTTTGGTTGTTCTAATGTTAGCTAGTGATAACCCGTACTACTGGCATCGGAACACCGTGGGGAAGGTTGAGTGTGCTATTCTCGGGACCGACCTGTTTACACCTGCTACCTGTTGGGAAAAGGAGCATCAGTGTAGCACTGCTGGTCATCCAAGGACAACACCTTACTCTTGTTACACCCCATCCAGTCAGCAGCAGTATTACTTCCCGCTTCAGACTCCCACCATAGGGTAGTAATTTAAACTTCAACGGTAACTGCTCTTCTTGTTACTACTACCTAACAAATGTTCCTGGCATAGTAGGGCCTCAAAGGAACAAGCGTTTCAGCAGGTGCAGTTCGTTCGGTCACTGTGATATGCAAGCCCAACTACGACGTCTAGATAGCAGCTGTGAACCGGGAACAGTGCAGTAAAATTAACATTCGAGACTGTTCACACCGAAAACGTGGTTTATTTTGTAGACCTATAGAAATCTTAAGTAATTATGATGGGTTAGATCATCTTCCTTATTTGAAAGAAAATTTCACCGGAGACTTTCATTACTATTTAGCTCAGCTTACAAACCTCTGTCATCCCCAAACCACTCATACCTTCAAAACAACTGCACTTTAAATGAAATCAGTGATAGTGCATTATTCCATTTCCTACTTGTTAAACCACTTATTCCATTTCTTTTGTGCCATGGTATCTTACGGACATGTTATTTAAGTCAGTATATGTCCATGACTCTGAAAGAACACAAGGTAGTGAGTTTCACTCTGTGTCTTTCCCACAAAGTGCTATAACCGAATTCTTGTTTGCCGACAGCATACATAGGGAAGTTGGTTCCAAACCAATAATGCGCACAAACGCCATCATCCAAAACACAGGAATAGCGTATGGATCTATCTTGGTTGACTGATACCATCGGAATTCAGCACTTCACATTGCTTTACTGTCTTGTGGATCAGGCTTTAATTCGAAGTGGTGGTGATCTACTACTCCAGCAACACTGACGTTGGTGACTAATGCTACGTGGTTAGTTGACACTGACCCACCTAATGAGATGGAGGTTCGTAGGGAATTCTTGGTGCTAAGGTACTGTAAGGTTCCCAGTCTAGATAACTTACCTTCTGCTCTTTTCTAATGGTAGAGGTGAGACTGTAATGAGGGAATTGATTAAATTGTTTGAGAAGGTACGGCAGACTTACAGTGTTCCGTCACTTCGTCATTATTTCACCCAGCTTTGGAAAGTGTCTACATAATGTATCAATCTGCTACTGGTAGCGTTTAGGAGTTAACTACTAACGTGCTTCATATGCTCCATGAATGAAAGCGTAAGAAACTGATCTACCAAGATCAGACTAGGTTTCGTTCATGTTTTGAATTCATTGATCATGTGTTCACTCTCCACCTGTCACACGTATTACAGGCCAGTATTCTTCGATATTAGGGTTGCCTTTGATTCGTTGAAAGGTCCTATCTGCACTCTAGAATTGTCTCTTACGGTTAGGGTGTCCCTTTGAAGTTTATAAACATCTTAAAATCCCCGTACAAAAACACCTCGGCTACAGTAAAGGCGTGTGTATGTAAGACTATACATGAGTGAATTGCGTACACAATAAATTGTTAAATTACTGAAATGACCAATTAGATATCTGTATTTTGATTAAAAGGGGTAATTTTTCATAAAATACATAAACTGAATTAGTTATTTCAGTGGTTGTTAGGTTGGTCTTTAAAGTCACTCTAAATTATAATTGTATAAAGATTTAATTAAGTGTTCAGTCACTATTATTGAATAGTTAGAAACAACATAAAGAGAAGTTTGCCAATCTCTAAATATAACAAGATCCAGGCATTGAAGTTTTATTTCCATATTAAACAGCTGAAAGCCTAGTCAAAATGAGTCTTTCTAGGTTATCTAAACTTTTATAAACATCAATGAAGCTGTACAATGAACTTCATGTTATGATATTACTTAGAGATTCTTTCAGATTTTAATTATAACGTTTCCATCTCGTACTTAAACTGTTACAACTCGGTATTTAAATGGTAATTTTGAAATGCTAAAGAATTCTATTTTAAATGAATGCATTTCTTTTTACTTTCATTTCTATACAGGTCATATTCTGTTGCCAACTAGTAATCTTGGTCAGATCAGATTTTTACCGAACTCCACAGCACCATCATGCTCCTCACAAATGATGACACCTATACATATTGAGTCTGGACAGCATATATTCTCTAACTCTGTACAGTGTCAGACACAATTTTCAAATGGTTTGATACAAACGCAATATTCACCAGCTTCATCACCTGGTGGTAATGGATCTTTACCTTCCGGTGAGAAGTTGTGTTATTTTATTCCGGTTAGTAGTAGTAATAATACTTCATCGTATCAACCTAATTCACATACTACCTCTACTAATATTCTTCAAAGTTGTTCTACTGCTAATCTCCCTCACTTTTGTAATAGTACTACAGTTGGATTTGCCTCCAGAATTCCTCATGCACGTGTAATAAACTCAACAAAGTTAATGAATGATAGATCAGTGATTCGAAATACTAATCGTTCTGTTCATCATAATTCTGTTTCCGGTTGTAATACTCAGAATGGTGTTCATCAAAGTAAGCTGAAATTCACTTTCCTTTCGTATTTGTAGAATTTTTCTGTTTTCTTATTATCTGCTTACATATATTTGAACGTAATAAAATCATGTGTAGGTCCTACCTAAATCTATTTTCTGACATTGGGTATAGTATATTTTTTCGAAAAGTTGTCATGGTCATTTTTCTTCCTCTTGTTAATCAGCTGTTTTTATCGATCTCTTTTCAATTGTGCATGTATCATTCATTATTCTTAGGCATGGTTATTGATATATGTATCGGCCGACTAAAACTCCAGCTCAGAGAATAACTCAATCGGAATATAATTATTTGAATTTATTGTGTTGGATGACTGACTAAAGTCAAAAGTTTAGGAAGAAAAATTTCTGGTAATATTCATGTACAGTCCAGTTATGTTATTTGGTTAGAGGCAATTGACAGGAATCCCTGCTCCATGTAGGTCTTGCGTGCTTGTTGGCACTCGTCAGTAAGGTTCATCTTCAACCTTGAGGGAACTGATGTCCTTTGTAAGGATTCGATCCCGTGTCACATTAGTTCCCTCAAGGTTGCATATATGCCCTGCTGATGAGTGCGAAAAAGCGTGAAACCTAGATGAAGCAGGGCTTCCTATCGATTGTTTCCATCTAACTAACATCTCTCTCAGTTCATCGCGATGATCAATCTCCTAGCCTAGTGGTCATATTCCAAAGTGATCGATCACCGCATAGAACTAGATAACATGAAATGTTTTACTCTTCAATAATTAGTCAATGTACAGTTCATTATATAGGTAAGTTTTTGTATAATCCCAGTGAGTGTAGAAAACAAGATTTTTCTGAACGTTTTGTTGTGTATGCGGCAGTTTCTTCAATTTCGATTTTCTAAATACACTGGGTGTATGTTAAAACCTATCTATATAATGAATCCAACGGGAGGAACTTAAAGGAAGTAACCTCCTTCACCTATCTAGGAAGCACTGTTTCAACGACGGGCGGGACGGACGAGGGCGTCAAAGTCAGAATCGGAAAAGCAAGACTGGCGTTCATTAGCCTGAAACCAGTGTGGAGATCTTCTGCACTCAGCATGCGGAACAAGATCCGAATTTTCAACACCAACGTCAAGTCAGTGCTTCTGTATGGTGGATGAGAGACTTGGCGCGTTACGAAAGGGATTTCCAATAAACTACAGACATTCGTCAACAACTGCTTACGCTGGCTCGCTACTGAAGATCAGATGGCCAGAAAGAATAAGGAACAAGGAGCTCTGGGAACGAACCAACCAAGAACCTATCGCTGAAGAAATATGCACTGGAAGGAAGTGGAGATGGATTGGGCATACACTGAGAAGGCGGACTGGGGACATCACGTGCCAGGCCAGTCCCTCGAGTGGAATCTCCATGGGAAGCGACGAGTTGGACGTCCGAGGGTGACATGGAGGAGATGGTGCGAGGAGGAAATGAGAGGTTGTGGGCTGTCATGGAACCAAGTTCAAAAGATTTCAGAGAAGAGAGTGTACTGGAGACATGCTACTGAAGCCCTATGTTCCATTAGGAACCCAAGGGACTAATAATAGTAATAATATAATGAATCAACTTGACTCGGTACTCAACTTCTTTTAGGACATTCGTAATGTACAAATTCAGTTAGGTGAAAAAGATGATTATCGCTAGATATTTTAATGCCACAGTTTTTCGAAACATTTCTTTTGTAATTCTCTCAACTGATGAAACTTTAACTCGCCTTAAATTATATTTGAACACTAGTGTTTACTCCTAGTAACTAATTCTATGTTAATATCTTTATCATAACTACTGTTAAATCAATGCAAGTCAATAAAAACTGGTTTACTTATAGCATAATAAAAGCACTTGTTGTATATATGGTAATTAAGAACAACTTTCCAGTACCTGCATACATGCATACATACATGAAGAGTGCGCAAAAATTATACATTTATGCATGTATACGCACTATTTTGTACTTTTACATATTAAAGTATGATTAATATTTACAATAGCAATAACTATTATAACAGCTGGAAAAGACCAATGCCTGACTTAAATGGTAGTTTATAATAACTTCAATAGTGTTTCGTTCTTCCTTCAATTGATTACTTTTCTTCCGTTTTTTTCTCTCATGCATTGAGTGACAGTGCAGAGGGAAAAGATAAAAACATCACTATGGTCTAAATTATTCTTTTCAATGAATTTCATACAAGCTTATCTGATTCTATCGAGTAAAGCCTTGCCATAGTTTTCCTTTACCAATCAATATTTACTACTATTGATTGATATACTTGTAATTCTCCGTTGTTTTACTGGATCGAATTGTTCAACGGAGAATTAAAATCATATCAATAGATAGCAATAACTACCCATTATACAAGAGGTGGCTATCGTGCATCTGTGGCCTGGTGGATAACGCTTTTGTGTTTGAAGAAGTGCGTACGAGGTTCGAGTCCCAATGGGAATAACATCACTCACTGAGGTGCAAGTACATCCAGTTGACAAGTCCTAAGTAGGGCGAAACATGCGTCCTGAATTCCTCTGCTAGCCACAACCAAGTAAATTACTGTAATCAATATATATCATGTTAATTGGTGTGTCTATTTTATTATACACAGATGGTACAACACGTAGTCAAGATACTGATACACCGGATGAAAGTGGTGTTGGTGAGTCGATTATATCAAATGAATCACCTGCTGAGAGTAGAGCATGCGGTAATGGAATGATTAACAACAGTGCTGTATCGAATCCTATGACATGCAATGCACCTAGTCAACTCGACTGGCGACTGAGTGGAGTAAGTATCTTCTTTGCTTACATATCTTTGTGACTTATTTATTCTCTTCTTACCTACTTTCTACATTCTTAATGTAGTGCATAAAAAGAAACAACTATTTTACTGGTGTAGGATCCAATTTAGGTGGATTACTTTCGTCAATGTTTTACGAAAGCTTCATTTCAGCGTAATAAATTTGATCAAGAGTAAATCTTAATGAATTTGTATTGATTTGAAAACCGTTTACGGTTTCTATATTTTTCACTCTTTAACTTCTGATGTCTTATGTGTTGGATACAGCTGATATAATACGATCTGTTGTTTATTCGACTAATTTTATAAGAAATCAAATAATGACAAAACTAACGTAGAACCTTACACAGAATTGAATGGAAATCTACTCAATAACCTTGTGCACATTCACGCAGTGAGTAATTAGCTACACGTATTGTTTGAGGACTATTGGTAGGCTATCTGATTGCCTAGACCATCCGTAGCTGGGGCTGGAATCCGAATTTGTGACCCACCAGTTGGAAAATTAAATGCCTAAATAAACCACAGCTCCACATGAATTGCATCAATTCCACATACCATAATTCACATCGATATACAAACAACAAATGGAGTTATATCAAGGTACACAAAAGTGTATGGAAGGATAAAGATTTTGAAAATGACGTTAATTGAACATATTCAGACTTTATCAAAGAGGGACTACGTGTGTACTGATGTGACTGATTTCCAGTTATGTCACTATGACTTGCTAATCATTGATTCCTATCATCTAGATGATCCCATTTAAACAGTTCACATCTCCCAACACGTCTCAGACTAACAGTCAGAGATCATATGAACTTGTTTCATATGTTAGTTTGCCTACCCTGAGCTTTCTTCCAGCTCATTTTAGTTTGGCCAACGTCACACATTGAAATAAGCGCTGACTGGGTATGGATAACATATGAAGGTTTGCAACCTCCTCGACTGAGTTATCTTTCTTATCTGATACTCTTCATCCAACATCCACATTTTGCACATACTGACTCATATCAGATGTATGAATCTTCAACGATTGTAGGAAATCCCGAATAATAGTTTTTCAACGTCATTAGAGTATTTAGTCAGATGTGACTTTAAAGGTCACCTTAGCAACTGTTGAAATAACCTATCAGGTTTCGTTATTTTGAATTGGAATGTAGGTTTTTCTTTTTCATAAAACAAAGAAACGTTATTCAGATATTTAAACGACTCAATCATTCCATCATATTTTTACGTTTCCTATTTGCTTTTTTAGCCATTTCATATTTCAGTGCCAACCGATCATTCACATTTTCATGGATCAGTAGTTACACCTAATTCAAATGGTATCCAACGCCATTCACATCCACACCTATTTCAAACGTCTCAAGTTAATTCAACTCAATTTGATGTAAATCCTATGGATCAATTTTCTACAATACCACCTCAAGATCGAATTGGAAGTTATTTAAAAAGTTTAGGTGAATTAGACTTGAATCGTCGCATAGATACAATTCATTCTTATCAATTACAACAAAATCAAAATTATCCATATTCACCTAATTTCTTACATTATCCACCACCGCCGCCACCTCCACCGGCAGCAGTAGTCACACCCACTGATGATGTATCTCAATTAAGGTAATTTATTTAACACACTATTGCCTTTTTTTCTCATTGAATCTTTGCATTTATACTCAACTGTCAGATAAATTGTAGTCAGTCGTATATTTTCGCCTTGTAGAAAGCTTTGTAGGTTTATTGATGAAGACTAAAGGATCTTTGTTTTTTTTTCTGGAATGTTTCAGTTCATTTGAAAACATCATATGTGTTAGGAAAATAGGTTGTATTTTACTTTTTTTTGTTTGCTGATTTGTTTTCTTATTAGGATTGCTTGGATCTCTATGCTTTAGAGTCTACTTTTATTGTCACTTGTATTTTTGTATGTTTAGGAATTACTTTACTGTTCTCCTGTTCAGCTTTGTGACATATAGTTATTTTTACTGCTTTACTACAGATTGTGGAGTATTTTATTGATTATTATTGTGTTGACTATTTAGAAAGTGATAGTGTGTACCCTCTTGTCTGATGATTTAAGCTATGAAGCTTAACTATTGGTGTATTTTAAGCCCCTTTGTACTACTCATCCTTGCAGTTTAATCGGTATTTAGGATTTGACCGTGTATCCAACTGTCTCTAAATTCAATATTCTCTCCAAATGCTCCTTTCTGTTTTTGATGGTGTTGTGTTATCTCAGCTGGATAGTCCAATCGTAAAGCTTTCGTTTTCATTCTAGACATCATCATTAGCACGAACTTCAGAAAGAGGTGAGTTATAAGATTTTATTCACAAGTGACCTAGTAGTTTGTTTTGATGGCCTTGTGTACTATTGATTATTTCTATCAAAGTCTTGTCATTTATCTCTATATTTATTTCGACTGGTTGTTCTACTGACGTGAACTTTGATCTTCTTGTCTTTTCTTATTGGTTGATAGATTGAGTCCATGTTAGTGTGTCTGTTGATCGCTGATTGACTTGAATTCCAAGCTTTTAAAAATTCTCTGGCATTCCTTTATCCCAAATTCATGTCCACAGATGTCTGTATAAATGTATATTGGCAAATATATGTGATAACACTTCACTGCTGGTTGACATTCATGTAGACGGATGCGATGAGCACGGTCACTTTTTTCGATGTAGAGTTTTCCGCAATTTATTGCAGTTTATTTTGTAGATAACGTTTGTTTTATCTCACTTTGTCATTATGTTTTTTAACTTACATAATAGAGATTTTATGAGGTAAAGCAATTTCAAAAGGCTTATAATCTAATCGTGGTCTCGGAAACGTTCTTCATATAGGGTAAGACAATCTGTTTGTTGGTTTCCAAGGATGACTTTTTGGTTAACGGTGAATTAGACTAATATCTTTTTTTGAAGTGAAAGCCTGTTTTGCTATGTTTCCGATCCTGGCTTTGACATCCTCGTCTGTGCCGCCGCCTGTAGTTGAAACGATGTTGCCTTGCCTGGGTAGGTGAAAGAGACTACTTCGTTCAGGTTCCTCCCGTTGGCGGTGATTGGAACTTGTTGTTGCTGTCTTCTCTACGTTCACTTGAAGTCCCATTTTCGCTGCCTATTCTGTCAACTTCTTAGTTTTCGCACCACTGGTAAACTAATCAGAGATATCCACCAATCATAATTTACTTATCACTTATAGATTTGTTTGTAATGCATTTTCAGTGACCAAGCTTTTACTCTCAATGAATGTGAAATACATATTTCTTGATTTTTATTGGTTTTTTTTAAGATTAATCACATAGTGTAACAATAATGTTTACTGTATTACATTTCGGGCATAATCTATTGTCCATATTTATATCAAGATAACTACACATTTATATCGTTATTTAGACTACAAATCGTCTCACCTTATGTCAAATAAAGTTGGCTTAGTAAAGTGTCTAAGTAATAGGGTGAAAAAAACCTTCCTAGTAAGACAGAAGATCTACGACAAGAAACCAGGTACATTAAAGACACCTTACTCATCAACAACTACCCTCCCAAATTAATGAATAAGTTCATTGAAAATCATAAGAAAAATATGACTAATTTTATTAACACATGTGTTAATAGTAGTAGTTATTAGGTTTATAATAATAGTGGCAATACTGTGAAGAAAGAATTCGAAACCTCTACAATATTTCCATGGAAGTAAGACACCTGAGAGAAATTACGTAGGATTCACAATAAAGGTGGGATTAGAGTGGCATTCAGATCTACAAACTGACTTAGAAATAAGCTTTGTAGGTTAAAAGATCCTATTGATCCAATTGAGCTGAATAATTTAGTTTACCTCATCCCTTGCAACGATTGCGAGGTCGAAGTAGTCGACCAGGGTCAATTAGGCTATCCGAACACAAAAACCTAGCTAGGTCAAAATCGGTAGATCCTAATAAGGTAAGGAATTTAGAAAGAACCTCAGGCATTTCTATTACTTGCGATTACACACATCCACACAATAGGATGGGACAGGATGGAAGTTCTTAAAACTTACATAGCAGGGTGGAGTGGGAGATTGGTAACTGAATCTAGGCTCATCGAAGCAATATGAAATACATGCAACAGGAATGACTCAGTACCTGTTCCGGATATATGAAAAATCTTACTAACCATGTCACAAAGTAGCGAGGAAATTAGGACTATATAAATTCTGTCTCAAAGTAGGGTACTTATCTTGATATAACTATTGACAATAAATTATGTGGGGAACGTTATCCAGTAAACAATACTGTTACACTGTGTGATAAATATAATAACTCAATAAAAATGGAATAACATTCTACCCTAGTGCACAAGTTTCACTCTTATATTAATATTGTTTGTTCACCAAGCTGCATCAGTGAGAAATAATTATGCCATCTGGTGAGTCGAATACTGAAGCCAGTGTATTATATCTACATTGAGAGTAGAGTTAAGGTTTTCTGGAGTTAGTTAATTGTTTAATAATAACCATTTAGAATAACTCGTTTTTCCTCACAGTGTGTTAAATTACTTTTTTAATTCTTTTCTTTTAGTCTGCATGTAAATGAGACCGGTGAACTTTCCAAGTCAAATATTTCTCAACCTGTACTTGTTGGACGACTTAATGAACGATATTTTCATTCAGATAGGATAATTCAAAATCAAACCTTATCAGAAACTAATAGTTGTCTGCCTAGTAGCCAGAATTCATCGAATCAATCAAAGATTTCTTGTGAACAGACTAAGTTTTTTGATGATTCCTCGCATACTACCACCAATAATAATAATAATAATAATAATAATAATAATAATAAAGAAATACCTCTTAGTACCTCATATTCAAAAGTTGCTCAAGTACGTCGAAAAAATAAACCAGATATAGAACATGGTGATACACATTTCGACTGTTCAGCAGGTGGACGTCGTCATATACCTGATGATCGATCAGAAGAAGAATCAAATACAGAAGAAGTACCAAGATCAATAGAAGATGAAACATTATCAATTGCATCCGATTCTCCAAACAATTCTCAAGATAACTCATCATCGATTAAACCTGATGCAGATGTTTCTGGAGGTGGTGGTGATGATGTTTACCAAGCACCAGATTCTTATTATCTACCTAGTCCTAATAATCATAATTCACAAAATATACATTCTAATTCTGTATCAAATGATACATCACTAACACATCTTCTTGAACGAGTTGTAGAGTTAATCAATTGGACTAAAGATCTATGTGACTCTGAATCAGTTGGAGATGAGATAATACAAGAGAATACAGTTGAGTTGCATGATTGCCTAGACTCATTCAGGGCTGAATTAGAAGCTCATATTGTCCAAAATATCGATGTCAATCCAAGCCTTGCCAAAGTTGTTTTAATTTTATGTGATAATTTGGGTAAGCATAGTGCTGATGTATCTCTGCATTCAACAGTTTCAGAAAATAATATAATTCCCTTAGGTGTACAACTTAATTCTTGTCATTTATGTTTAAAAGAGATCCATGATCATATACTTCATTTGTCAGACAAGTTAAATCATGCCAATACAATATCTACAAGTTCACCAACATCTGTTGCCAGTGACATTCATGTCGAGGATCGATCTTTTAGCAATACTCATGTATTTGGCAAAGTTTAATCGGGTATTATACTTATTGATATCAAAAACGGTGATATTGTTTTACGCTGTTCACTCTGTTATCTTTTGATGTGTCTTCGACAAAGGCAGAGAGAGAGAGAGAGAGAACTTTTTCCACAGTCGTAGGTGCAATGTGTACTAATAGCCTTCATGATTCTCATCATTTTTGTTTATTTGAGTTTTCTTCGGAAAAGAGCCAACGGACATTGATGAAATGTGCTAATGACGGAGACTAACCCATGATTCACATGCGTATACTCTTCTATTTGTCTTTGAAGTGAGCCAATTCACTCTTGTGTGTTTTCATTTTGCTCCTTATCCCTTTTTGAAATTACCTATGTCTTTCGATGATATTATCTTCCTTTTTTTTGTTTTGTCTCTCATCGTTGATAACAGCTGTGAAGTTAAGTTATGTAGTCCAACGCATGTGTGTAACATGATGCGATGAATTAGATGGAAACTATTTTATAATTTTGACTGATTCTTATTCTTACCCACTGCGTTGTATTGTACAATAAATACTACTCATAAAGACACTCTGTCTCCCTTCCTTCCTCCTCGAACGTGTATACATATTTAGTATTGTATCTGTATAACAATTTGTTTTGCATGTCGATATATATATATATATATATATATATATATATATATATATATATATATATATATATATTGTTGTACTTGATTAGTAGTATATCGGCCACTTTACGAGTTACAATACCTTCTTGAAATGTATTTTCTTCTCTTCAACATTATAGACCACTGGTATGTATGTTATTATTGTGCTAATCCGTAAACAACAATGCTATGAATGCATGCACACAATATTTTACGGCATTGTTTGTTTTATTTTCATCATTTCAATGTTTATATCTTCTTTGCTTCAGTTATCTTCTTCATCTTTGCCAGTTTAGGCAAGACGTTGTCTCATTTCTTGCTTATACATTCTGTCCTTGTATACACGCATAAATTGACTGGTTTCTTTGATGATGATGATGCCCGATCTTCAGTGTTTTATTAGCCTTCAGTTCGCTTGACTGTTTGTTTGTTTGTTATCTTATGTATTGTTATTGATCCGTGTGTGTGTGTGTTCCCATCTCGTGAATAAAAGGAAAAAATGAATATCATACACTGTTACCAGTCACAGAAATAAAATATATGTGGAAAACCTTTTATCTTTTCCCAGTGTATCATATATACATTTTCATATATATACATACATATACTTCAGCAGCCAAAAAGTCATTTTTAAATTTTCTTTGATTGGTTTTTAGCCATGGTTGTTGTGTTTGCACTCCCTCCATAATGATGATGTCGACAATGTAGATACGAGTAAGAGATGATTTTTGCCACTTTTCTGTCTTCTCATCTAATCACGAAAATTGATGTTCATCAGACTTGCCTCAATGACTGCTTAAGAAAAGTGATTCGTTTTAACCTTTTCATCCTATAAGCATATTATTTATTTACACCTTTTATGCTTATACTCTATTTTGTGTAGTTGAATCAATTTTCCAATGTGCAAATTTATTTTATTTAGTTTCGTTTATATATATATATATATATATATATATATATATATATATATATATACATTGATATTACTACTACTACTACCAATGACAATAATAATAGTAGTAATAATTATTATGATGTCTACAGTATTATGATTTACTATAAAGATGATTTTCGCCAAACAAGATCAACAAACATTGAGGTGAATTGAATCGACTTCGTTTGATATATATATATATATATATATATATATATATATATATATATATATATATATATATATATGGGAATAGAGATGAGTGACAAAGTTCACGACCTAATCAATCAATACAGGCGATAAGTAACAATAAATCAGACTATAAAATCGATCAGTAAACATAAAAAACTTCAGTGTATTGATATGATAACAGTTCAAAGTGGTAGAAATTTTCTCAAATGGAGGAAAATACGGAAGATGTGGTGTGCAATATGTTTAAATTAATGATAAAGGAATAGGAAAGGCGATGCGAACAAACAAGGTTAAGATGAAATGGATTGAAAAATGAAAATAATAGGAATATGAATCGTAAAGGTGGCTTGCAGTGGAATTCAGGATGCTCATTTTGCCCTATTTAGGACTGGTCAGCCGGATGTGGCTACCTCCCAGTGAGTGATGTTGTTCTCACCGGGATTCGGACTCGAGGATGATCTCTTCAAACGCCAGAGTGTTACCCATTAAACCTCAAAGTCACGATAACCACTTCTTGTGCGATGGCTATAGTTTTAGTACAATTGCTTGTATTATACTATAATTGTATTGTACTATAATTAGAACGCAGGTGATATCGAGGCATCGGCACAGCAGCCCATATGCCAATAGAGACTGGTCAGTTCGGTCCAATCAGCGACGGTGTGATACAAGCAATTATACTCAACCTATGCCCGTCGCACAAGAAGTGGATTTTGTGGCTCAGTGGTGACTCTCTGGCGTCTGAAGGGGTCGGTCCCGAGTCCGAATCCCAGTGGGAACAACATCACCCACTGGGAAGCAGGCACATCCAGCTGACGAGTCCTAAATAGGACGAAATGCGCATCCTAGCAACCATCCATCTCTACTATAATTAGAACACAGGTAATATCTAGGCATCTGTGTAGGAGCCCATATGCTACTAGAAATATGAATAGTGTTTGAGAATAATATGTAATTTGGAGGTTTTTCTAAATGCGAATTTACTTATTGATTTCAGATTGATATTCATCATGGAGAAACATTGGAAACCTAGGAGCAATGGACAGTTGTTTCGTCCTAGTATCGGACCCGAAGTCGAACATGAAGTTGGTTACTCAACGATGGTATTAGATGAAAGTGGTGCTATAGTGGTGAACTGACAAAATTAGGGAATATGGACCATTGGATTCTAACTCAGTGGGCGCAGAACCCGAAGGCCCCCGGTTCGACATCAGACGGGGACATGGGCACATACTGCTGAGGAGTCCTACACTAGGACTAAACATCTCTCCAGTACTCGTAGGTTTCCAATATTTCTCCAACTGATGTCAGTCCACAATGAATACCAGTCTGAAATAATATGTGAGACAATAAGATGAAAGAATAAAATATTCAATAAAGCTGTAGGGAAAGAACAACACACCAAGACAATGCAAAGTGAACCACAGACTCCTTTTAGTTTCATTCGACAGATTACTTCTGCATAACGTAGCAATCTATTTCTTTTTTTCTTAAGTACCTTGAAAGACGACAGTATGACCTGTATCCTGAATGTGTTTACCAATGGCATTGCTTGATACCCTTCCACCTCTCAATGATATATATCATGTTATCTGTATAATTTTGGTAATTTTTAATTAGATCGATTAGCTGACTAATGATTGATTTCGCTTAGTCTGTTTGGAGTATTGTTATCCCTAATACTTGTATAGTCTTATCTTTGCCTCACTAGTTTTATATGTGCTTTTTAAAGCTGAATGAAAGGAATGAAACACCTTATCTTTACTATTTCTTTGGATTAGATTGATATATTTTGCGAAGTATATTGTATACATAGTCAACAGTTCGAATCAGTTGAAGCCAAGCGACTATATGCAGGTTAAATGTCAGTTTTGCAATATTAGACGTCACTATACACCCTGTAAACGAATAAGAATTTTTTTACTTGTTGTTTGTTTACAATGTGATGTAACGTTCAAATGGAATTCTAATAAACTTGAATTAACGAGCCTGTATCTTGTGATATGCGTATCACCTTTGAATTTCGATTTGGTGATTGAAGTGTTTTACAAATAAATATATAAATTAATAAGCCTCTTGGACGAGTATACTGCGCTGCAGTTCGTCTTGCATGACTGTGTGCATGCGCCGTTAAAAGTAGAAGACATGGAGCGATTAAAGGGTTTTGATCATACATGTCTTCGTAGCATTGCTCTTATTTGGTGGAATCACCATGTGCGCAGTGTTGAAGTCATTCAGGTAAAGGGTAGTATATTATTATTATTCGTCCCTTGGGTTCCTAGTGGAACATAAGGCTTCAGTAGCACACCTCCATTGCATTCTGTTCTCTGCAATCTCTTGAACCTGGCCCCATGACAGCCCAGAAGCTCTCATTTCTTCCTCTCATGATCTCCTCCATGTCACCCTCACCTTGGGCGCCCACCTCGCCATTTCCCATCTGGGTTCCACTCGACGACCTGACCTGGTGCATGATGTCTCTGAATGGTCTTCTCAGTGCATGCACAATCCATCTCCACTTCCTTCCGCACATTTGTTGTGCGATAGGTTGTTGGTTAGTTCGTTGCCCGTCCAGAGTTCCTTGTTGCTTATTCTTTCTGGCCATCTGATCTGATATTCAGTGTCGAGTGAGCCAGCGTAGGCGACAGCTGTTGATGAATATCTGTAGTTTGTTGGAAATGCCTTTCGTGACACGCGAAGTTTCAGACGCATACAGTAGCACTGACTTGACTGAACTGGTGTTGAAAATCCGGATGTTTTCCCAGATGTTGGGTGTAGATCTCCACACTGGTTTCAGGTTGATGAAAGCCTGTCTTGCTATGTTTCCGATCCTTGCTGGCTTTGACGTCCTCGTTTGTGCCGCGGCCTGTAGTTGATACGATGCTGCCTAGTTGGGTAGGTGAAAGAGGGCACTTCCTTTACGTTTCTCCCGTTCATGATTGAAAATTGGTTACTGTGGTGCAGTTATATTCACTATTGATGTCTTCAAAATCTTGAATGTTCGTGCTAACGTTTATCTTAAAAATTGTTTATTCTCTTACATAACTTTGTCTACCTTTGTATGAATCTTCTGTCCACCTGTTCTTTGTATACTTTTGTTAAATGTGTCAACTTCAGGTGATGCTGTTGTGTTCTATGTTCTACATTTATTTTGTCTCTGAGAGTATGCTATCAACTCTAAAGGACAATTCTATCTCACAGTGTATAATAATTATCGAACCGGTTGATTAATTAGTAAATCGGTGCAGACCAGTTCTCGCCTTAACTTAAGACTTTGCAACTAATCACTTTTTAGTTTCTGCGTTAAGAGAAGGACGAAGAGTTAGATAAGTGAAGTTCAGAAAAGTGCAGTCTATGCACTAGTAATAGACTAAAGCGTATGACCTTGAAACCGAGTATTTTTGAAAGCGTTCTGTGACAGGTGTCAAACAAATGTCATTTAGTTCCTACAATTATTCTCTTAAATGTATATGATATTAGTATTTGTCAGGTTTCATTTTAAAGTAGTTGTATTCGTCTTTAATGATATGGTAATGGTTTAAACTTCTAGCATCACTTGAGTCGTTTTTCTCTTCAAATCTCTTTTGATACAGAGACTATCTTGATAAATGTATCTAAATTTCCCTAACTCCCGCCCCCCTCCCATTACAATTTCACAATCCATTTAAGTCAACAAAAATTATTCATTTCGATAACTTATTTTTCATGTTCTACTAAAATATGTTTATACTGAGGAATTTTGCGTTAACATTATTGCTATTTGGTTTAACAGTTTGTGAATAGTATTATCCAATTCAATAAATGACTATCTAAACGATTATTACTGCGTGCATAATGTCATCAGGGGGTAGTTTAATAAAACAGTAGGAAGTTGTTTATGAGAATTGGATGAAATGAACTCAGAGAGATAATTTTTGAGTAGAAGGGTAGAATGGATTATTACTCATGTCAGGGGGAAAAAAGTAGGTTAAGAGAACGTAATAAAGTTATTTCAGATTACAGGGATATTTACAGTATGCAGTTAGAAAATTAAATTATTTGGGGCAAGATTGTAAGGAGTTTGTAATTCCTGAATCGTGCCTAAATAGCTGTAGTGATAACACTTGCTTTTTTTAAACACAAGTCTTTGAATGTTGAAGAGTTGATCTATGATGACTTTTTGGTTCTCTGTGATTCGAGATGTTAGAGAACTTCAACTGGATTGAACTCTGTACTCGTTCTATGATGAGTATAATCCCAAACATGTAACCTTTCTCATCACGCCGTCATAGTTAGCGAAATAAAACAGATTTACATTGAAACCATTTTATCAACAATGTAAATAATGTTAAAAAAGTAATAGAAACTTGCTAAGGGAGAAGGAAGCGGTTAAGCATATAAAGAAATGTGATGTGACATATAAGAGGACGATGTATAGATGTCTGTATGCTACGGCAATAGATTTTGAGACATATCGCAAAGATTCTTCAACTACCAATCTATTGAACGTTGTCCATCTAAAATTGTACCGCTTTGTTGTGAGGTCCTGTTATCGATTCTTCAAGTGTTACTATTTCTACTACTGAGTTACTGTCCTCGTGTTCGACTTGGTTGGCTCTATCGATCACGACTTCCCATTAGAACTTCGGGAATTACCTCTCGAAACTAGTCATCATTGGACAGTAGATGGGAGCAAAACCCGAAGGTCCTGGGTTCGACCCCCTGCCGGGGTGATCGGTACGTGCTACTAAGGAGTCTCATTCTAGGACGAAGCAGCTGTCCAGTGCTCATAGATTTCCAATGTTCCACCGACTAATGTCAGTTCATGGTGAATACCAATC